CAAAGTATGTTTGGGGGCTAGGCAGCAGGCTTTGAGCATTTTGGCTGAGTCTCAAAGGTGCGTTTTCTGGAGGGCTCAAGCAAGCGCGAGCTTGGCCGGTCGCTCAAGGCCAGCCTGGTCGTGCACTGCCAACAGGACATGCAAGAGGCTGGACACATGGAAGAACCGAGTTTGCAGTTGTTTGGGTGTGTTTTCAAACAGGGCCCCACAGGCTCAAAAAACAGTACAACAAGGGCACCAACTCCACAAAGGAATCACTTCACCACAGTAGTTCTTTTAGGCTTGCATTCGCACAGTGAGGCAACACACATTTTGTCAACAGGACGCCTCACTGTTCATCAAGGAGGAGCCCGAATATGCATGGTTTCCGCTTGGTTTTTGCTCTGAACCAGGGGGCTACTCTTGAACCCCACCTCCCATCACGCGAGGCATCTGCGGCAGACTTCATGCCCCAGATGGGCGATTTGGAGGTGCAGCGGGCGGGATTTGAATGCGACTCGTTTCAGCCACCTAATTGGACGTTGGCAGCTCGTGCAATTCTGTTGCCTGTGTCAGCAGGTATTGTCAGGCATCCATCGTTCTTGCGATGGACTTTCAATTCAATTCATGTGGTATTTGATGGACACGGCGAAATGCATTGGCCAGCAGCGGTAAACCGGTAGAAGCCTGAGCCTGGTGAATGGCAGAACTGGCAGAGAAGTTCGTCCGATGAATGGCTAGAGCTTCGCCCACAAATTGCCGGCCTTGGCCAAGATTGCGGCCACCAAACATGCTGCGGTGCACAATGGCAACGAGACAGCGCAATGTCAGTGGCTAGCTTCACAGCCGCCAATGGGGGTCCCTAAGATGAGGCTTGTAAATCATACAAGTTGTTGTCAGGATGCCTTACACTGGATGATATACTTATCCAGACGAGAGTCAAATGTAAAGGCGTAAGTACAGGCTGCACCTGGAATGATTGCAACATCGTGCCCCAATTGACAAGCTTTCGCTGGAAACGCTCCACAGCAGAAACACCTGGGCCACATTTTGGATGCGGGTTCATCCTGGCAGGTGAGTTTTCTTCCGTTGGTGGGGGCATCCTGTGCGAAGGACAAGTTGCCGGACCTGTCCCTTGTGACCACAAAGCTTTCGCCAGATGACGTGGCAGTTGGCTTCTCGGCTGGATCTGAGACCAAGGCACGGAGTATGCGTGTTTGGGTCGTGCAACCATATTTTGGAAGGAGCACAATTCTGCTCAACTACGGAGCTGGATTTTTGAACGAAATCGCGTTGGCCTCCACCCAAGGTTGGGCAAGTGCCGGTGCTTCAGATTTTGGCTGGCTCCTCAGACCCGGGTTTTTCCCAAGTGCAGCGCCTGCCAACCTGCGCTTCGTTGATTCAGGTAATTGCCGACTGCCTGATTCACATGTCTTTGGGTTTGTCCTGAGGTCCGTAGCTTCAGCAATGCGTGTCTGAGAGTTTCCGCAAAGCTGGGAGCCTCAACCTGGGCGAGTCCTTTTTTGAGACCTTTGGGAATGTTTCCCTAGAGAAACCACGGGGGGAAGTGAAGCGCACTTGGGTTCCCGCATTAGACAAGCCGATAAGCCCAGCCCAATGCGGCCTTTGCCTCGTGCGGGATGCGTGTGCCCAGGGTTTGGGTCCTGGAAGCCACGCTCCGACCGCACGGCATGTGAAGCAGAAGCCTTTGAGCTTTCTGTCAGTCCAGTTTGCTCGCTTGACGTTCCAGTTTCATGGTAACTTAGGACAAGAGGTGCTCTTGGCAAGGCTGCCCATGACAGCCGTAGGTTGGCAGCAGGTGGGCTTAGCTTCAAGACAATGGCGACGCCCGTTGCCAGCAGCCTCCAGAGAGCGCCTCGCTTAATTCAACTCCGGGGCCCTCCCGATGTTGAGGGTGCGGATTGGCGCTGGCGCCGAATGGGAATTCGTGCAGCGGAAGTGGCGGTGGACCAGCCGTCCCAAATCAGCTGTGGCCGCTTTTGACGTCTCCACATTCTTTTCGTGCCCACCTCAGATTGTGGGTCCACCCCAGAAGCAAGAATGGCTTCCCGCCAACAGCTGTACTGCCTCTATCCTGCGATCCTGTACAGAGGCCCCTGAAAACACGCAGAAGCGCTTCTTTTTTGTGTCCCAGTGCCACCCCCCATCTGTTTTTGTCTCTGGACACTGCCACTGAAGAATGCCTCCTGGCTGAGTGCCTGAGCGCCCGGCGAGAAATGGCGAGCGAGCGACTCTTCCACCTTACAATTGGAGGGGTTCTGCGGAACGGCACAAATTGTCTTGACAGGCGAGCTGGGACAAACAGGTCCAGCTGTGCCGGGCTGAATTGCCCAGGCTACCGCTAGGTTTCTTCGTACGAATGTGAGGCTGGAGATGCCACCTTGGAGCTATTGAGGCTGACTCTGGAGCGCGACGAGCTGACCAAGGAGTGCCACAGACTCGAGGTTGGGGCAGAGACATCTCAAGCCTCAAGCCCTATCCCATCCCATGCGTGTTTGTGTGTGTGTGTGTGTGTTTCACCTTCGTTTGAAGAATGGAGACCAACAGGAGACCACAGTGTTTGGGGTCCCCCCTATATTTTGAGACATACCCTACCCATCCCATGATCTCCTCCTTTGAAAGACGTGCCCTTCATGCGAACTTGTTGCAAAGCTGTGAACTGAAGCCCCCCCACTGCACGGCTGCTTCGCCATCAGCTGATAGGCGCGTGCCAAGCAGCTGGAGGAGGCCGAACGAGCGCAGGCCGAACGAGGGCAGAAGCTTCGCACTTGAATTAACCAAGGCCTGTGCGACTCGCTTTCTTTGCACGTGGCACAATGCAATCCACATGCAAGCTGGCTTCTTAACACGGCGCGCCAACCACAACTGTGGGGAAGCATTGATTTTGCTGCATCTAGTTTTTGCCAGGCCTGCAGGTAAGGGCTAGTCACCAGCAAGGGGTCTTTGTGCAGAAAATAACCTGCCGGAGAACGACCTCAAACCTTCGATCTCGTCTTGTGTCATTCATGTAGGCCACAATGGCAACAGATGCGCCCACATTGCGTTGGGTCTTTGACCATGATGTGCGAGATATTTTGGCTCATGGTGTTTGGTTGCCAGGCGCAACGTTTGGAGATTGAGCAGTGGTGGGCTGAGGCTTCAGGGAGCCAGAGCCCTTGCGCTCAGCCTTTGAGTAGGTCTCAAGTTTAGGGTACCCATGTCAATTTAAACTTAATGGTCATAAAACAAGTTTGGGAAGCTCCTTTCAGCTTGACCTAGCTGGGTAGTGCCAACGCTCTGCTGAGGCCGGCTGCTCCGATGCGAGACAGACTCTCTACGGAGGAGTGGGCATTAAGTTTATCCAGACCCGAGAAAGCAATACGAGTCATCTACTGTGTTTGGAAGATATTGATCTTCGAACGGTGGTTGTTCCCTTGATTTTCCTGCAAAGCAGCACCAAAGGGGTACCCCGAAAAAGACATGACATGGCTCCCCGCACTAGCTTGCCACTGAAGAAAATGCTGGCTATGCACCCAAACTCCTTAAGTACATCAGAAGAACCGCCGTGCTGACTGTGGCCTACCTGGCACCGAGACTTGAGTGCCAAAATGCTTTCTGAGTTCAGAGTGGTTCGGGCTCTGCCACAATCTCAGGCGTTGCACTGCCTGACATGTGTAAAGCTCTATTTTGGCCCAACCCTGATTGGCACAATTTCTGTGAATCGCCAATGATGCCTACCGAAGGGTCCCCTTATTGGGGCAAGGCAAATGAGGCCCACCTGAATTGAGTGTTCGGGTGCAAGGAGGCAGCCAAGCTACGTGCGGGTCTTGGAGGAACAGTAGGCCGAACAAAAGCCCCTGAATCTCCGTTTCCTTTTGTTTTGGCTTTCAAACTTCATTGAACATGGGCACCCTCACCTCTGGGAATCAGATGGAGGCAATTTCAGCCAGTATTCCCCATCGGAATCAACTCCATGTGAGTGTTGATAAACTGGCACCTGAGGTTGTGGTTCAGATGCAGCGCATGGATCTTTGACAGGACACCCGAAGCTGGCAAGTGGACACAAATCCAACGGACATGAAAATGAAAAACCATATCGGCGGTGGCCAAGAGTTGATTTTGTTTCTGCGTCCAAGAACGAAGCAGCGGGCTTAGGTGTGGACCTTCGCGACGGGGTGAGGCTCATGAAGTCGGTGAAGCTGGGACCTCAAAGTTGGGGTCAGTGCTTCCTAGGATTCATGGGGACACCCGGAAAAATGGTTGGTGCACGCAAATCCCCATGTAAATGCCAATTTAAAGTTCCACTGAAGTGACGCGTGTGAAGGGCAAAGCGCCTGTGCGCATTCCAAGGCATGCCAACACCTTTGTCAATGCTCTGTCAGAGGCTAGGCAAAGTCCATGAAGAGCAAAGCTCTCTTCACAGCGCAAAAATGACCTATTGGCCAATTTTGAGGCTCTGGTTCATAGTGGACTTTGTTGAGGACTCTGTCTCTTTCTCTCTCTCTCTCTCTTTCTCTCTTTCTCTCTATCTCTCTATACATATACGGCATATATATATATATATATATTTGTATATATATATATGTATGTATGTATATATATATATATGTATATATATGCAAAAAACAGACTGCAGACCCTATGGCTCTGGGCAGACTAGGCTTGGGGGCATAGGCTGCAGTTGCATGTGTTTGGAAAACTCGATGTTGTTTGCATTCATGCCTGAGATTGCCAGTTTTTGTTTTATATATGTGTATATCATACACATGCAGCCTCTAGAATCGTAGAACTGGTTGCCAATGGGTTTTGGGCGCTCTTCTCTTCCAGTCTCACGAGATGAGACCGCCCGTTTCACGCAGGTTGCCTGGATACTTGTCACCCTGCCAACAATACGTGCTCCACGAAGTGCGGAGAAAGATCAGAGCAGGAAGACACGGAAAAGCAACACAGTACTAGTACCAGTAGTGCGTGACAAACATACAAAGGCCAGCATATTCCGTGGACCGCGAAACCAATGCTGCAGCCACGCCTGTCCAAGAGTTAGGAAATGGTTCTCGGCCTTTTCCAAGATGGACATCGAGAAAGAGTTGCCCAAAGATATGCGCGCAGCGAGTGAGGATCCGGTGTTGTGTGTCTTTTCTGGGGTGCGCACAAACCTTTCTACTGTTGATGGAATCCTGCACCAGTTGGGATGGATGAAACTCCAGTATAAGTCACCTACGAGCTGGTGCACAGTTCTCAGAATCCATCCGTGTTGAAAAGCCGGGGGTCGTATCCATTTGGTCCATTGGTTGGGTTGAAACTGGGTGTCCATGAAACGGCCAGCCTGTGAGGATCTGCACGAGATTCAGCACATGCTGAGTAACAAGCCGGCTACTCCCGCACACACAGCGCATGCGTCGCACGAGCTGCACCAGGACCTCAAGAAGTTACACGTGGAGATCAAGTCGCACTTTGTGCAGCAGAGACTTGGCGCTGAAAGCTACAGATCCTTTTGAGTTTCCGCTGTTTCCCTATCAAGTGGGAGGAAAAATGGAGGGTAAAGACAGGAGAGTGCTCTTGCTGGAGCTGGTCAACCAGATGCGAAGCGGCTTGCCCAGTGCCAGTCCTACTGATGATGAGGGGCGCAAGATCGACTTCTCGCGGCTGGATGAGCTGATGATAGCCCACGGCCTCGCGCCAGAGCTGGAGAGGATGAACACAGGGCAGACTGTAGATCTGGACGGGATCAACGCGCTGCTGGTGGAGCACGGGATCTTTCAGGGCGGGCGCGTGCCAACACCAGATGCGCCGGATGCGGCTGTTTCGGTTGAGCCGGAGGCAGCTCGCCTGGCCGAGGCCCAGACCGATGCGGCGGATGCGGCAAAGACCAAGGCGCTGCGGCCATCGGATTCCATGCGCTCCAGCATGCGCTTCAGCTTTGTGAGGAACAGAATTGACGAGGCCCAGAAACGGGCCTATGAGGCTGCCTCTAACAGGCCAGAGCAGCCGGTCATTGAGGAGCTGGAGCTCACAACAGCCACGCGGATTATGCAAAAGATCGTGGTGTCCAATGTCTTTGTGTATCTCATCATGGGCCTGATTCTTGTGAACCTTCTCCTTTTGGGCATCGAAATCGACACCGCTGCCTCTTTCGGGCAGAACGATGTTCCCACATGGTTCGAGTCAGTGAACATGGTCATCGTGCTAGTCTTCGTTTTCGAAATTGTTCTAAAGCTGTTGGCCTACGGATGCTATGAATTCTTCCGTGGCCCGGACGGCGCATGGAACATCTTCGATTTCTTCATCGTCGCCTTGTCCTCCGTGGCCCAGTTGAGTGGCAGCCTTTTGTTTTCTTTGAGGGGGGTCGCTTTCAATACAAACAGGAGACTTGTGGCAACGAGGTGTGCATATTCTTAGGACCATAGGACTTGATTCTTGCAGTTTGCCTAGAAACACCCAATTCCCATCGTGATTGGTCCAGAGTCCATCATGCCCACAGTGAATACCAAGAAGTAGCACGTGGCAGTGATTTTGCTACGTTCGCAGCACACACCAGTCACAAGCTTCCAGTTCCTACTTGTACGTTCCCTACTTGAAACAAGTAAGCCTATGGGTTGGAGATCGATTCGAGCCAGAAGAGCCAAGAAACATAGCCGTTTCGCCTTCTTGAGCGTGTAGCTGGTCTGTTCTAAACGCTTAAGCCCGCCCATTTGAGATCAGCTGGCACATCGAAGTGACACCAAGGGTCCATTTGGCAGGTATTGTTTTGTTGATTCCAGGCTGCAACATAGACTCTACGTGTCCACGGCACGGGTCCTCCCCCCCCATACATAACCTTGAGCGGTTTCAACACTTTCAGCTTCGTGCCCCGAGGTGGAGACGCTCATAGACCTTTGGGCGTCCTCTTTGACCCAGGCGGGGTGCTTAAATGTGGCTGGAAAAGCCTGCTGAAAGGCCTCCATTTAAACTGTCGACATCTCGTTTGTTTTGTTTTGTTTTTTCAACGCAGTCGTTTGCAATCCGTTGCTTGAAGTAGCTGTCAGCAAGCCATGCTCAAGGCCCGCAAGGCAGTTGGATAGTCACTCAGCAGTCTGCTCTGCCCCGAAAATCGTGGCCGACGGAGCCGGCTGACAACTTCAGGTGGACCTCAGCCAGCTGCGGGTGATGCGCTTCGTGCGCCTGGCGCGCACCTTGCGGGGCATCCGGGTGATGCGGCTGCTGCGCTACGTCACGGCGCTGCGGACCTTGGTGTTCTCCATCATGACGCCAAGAGGCAATTAGACCTTTCACACTGCGAAATATGCGAAGGGCAAGAAGTAACTCCCCAAATTGGGTTCAGTGCAACCAAAAAGGGAACCGTGCTACCTACTTTTGCCCCGGTAGAAGGTGCGCTTTGATTCTTCACGGCGATTGCAACAAGTCCAAGCGGACAAATAAAGAGGGGATGGGCTTTTGTCACCCACACGGCTGTTTTGGGCAGGCCTAAAGCCCTTGTTGAGTTTTCCCGGGGGTTGCGAAAAGTCCCAACCAGAAAGGAGAAACCAGGAAGACAACATGCAAGCCAACGCTAGACCTCCTCTGTTTGACCGTCAGACTATTTGGAATCTCGCGTTCCCAAGCCAGTTTCCTGTCGGAGTTCTTGTCCCACGGCGTCTCCCAGCTTGGCTCCAGAAAACAGCCCAATGCCCGTTCCAAACTCGGTCGTTGAGGCTGTGCTGCAGGCGATTGCTTTCGGTCCAGCCAGCCCTGTGATGATGCCGTGAACTTGGCTTGTCAACCGCTGACAGCTTACGGACGCACATGCCAAAGCTAGGGCAAGCATGCGCGGAAGCACGACTGATTGTGTCATGCCGGGCAGTTGCTGACACGCGCACCGTGATCATTCGGCTCGTTCGCATCATGCAAACTAACGTGAATGCATATCATATGCTTGCACGGGCCGCTCGGGGGATGGGTTCAGTCAGTTTGACGATGTTGGCCGCGTCATGCAGGCGGTGAATCAGTTCACCTGGTATTTCCAATCTGGTGGGTTTCGGCAAGCGCCTGAGTCGCATGGCGCGCCACTACCCTCAGATCACTCGCTTGTCCCTCAACTCGCTTGAGCCGACGGGTGCATTCCAGTTCAGCGTTATCACGATTCAGCGTCCCCTTGATGCTGCCTGCATCATGGTGCAGTCCAAGCATCATATTGCCCGTGTCAACACGATGTTGCCGCCGTCGTCTGATTCCGCAAGCGCTGTCGCGATCCTGTCCGCGTCGTCATGATGGCCCGTATTGTCATGATCGCGTTTGAGTAACCATGGTGTTGCCCTTATAATCATCATGATGCTTACACTTAATCCACACTATGACGGCGGCAACACTTTGCGATTCTGCGTCCTGTGTTTCGGGCCTGGAAGGTCGTTGACTCAGTCACATGTCACAGTTCCCCGTTTGCCAAGAGTCCGGGACACAATGTTACAAGAGAAGAAAATCAATCCGTCTCGCTCGTCAAGGCTTGTCTCCCCAAGTCAGGTGAAGGTCAGCCGAGACAGGTTTGCACTTTGTTGCCTGTCAACTCAGCAAAGGAACACTATGAAGTCTTTGCTGTGGACCCTTGTGCTCCTGCTGCTGATCTTTTATTGCTTTGGCGTTCTGCTGACTCAAATTGTTGTGGACTACTGCCGCGATGAAACCATACAGCTCACTGGAGATGCCAATGCGGTCCCTGTTTGTGGAGAGATATTGAGCAAGTACTGGTCGAACATCGTGCAGAGCATGCTTACGCTCTTCATGGCTATAACTGGTGGGATTAGCTGGATTGAAGCGCTTGAGCCACTGCAAACCATCTCCTTTTTTGCCGTGCTTTTCTTCATCTTCTACATAATTGTGACAGTTTTTGCCGTGATGAATGTGGCTACTTGGCAGCACGGATCAGGAGCCCTTGTTGGAACCAGACTATGCGGCTGTGTCCAAAAAGGAGGCAAACCGTCCCAAGCAGAGAGTGGTTCTCAAAGGTATGGTGAGACAACACCAGGTGTTGCTTGGTTTTCGAGCATCATGGTGTGAACCCTTTCATGCTGACGGAAGCAGGGCATCAACTTTTCGAGTGTTCTTTTGGAGTCGTAAGCAATATTGTCCGTGGTTGATGTGCAGTGCATTGCCTAGCGCAGCTCAGGTTACTGGAGTTTTCTGCAACTGAACTGCCCAACGCCGACCTTTTGTTTTTGCCATTGTGGTTCTTGTTTAGTGGCTCCAAAAGTTGAAAGGTTATCCAATGTGCAGGTCCATTCGGCAAGTGAGGCAACACTGCTATTGAAAGTGCCAACTCGGACAAGGATATTGCTGCACTCACGCAGTTGCAGAAGCAGTCAACCCTAGTCCGATCCCTGCGGCGCATTTTCAAGGACGCAGTCTTACAATGTTTTTGAAAGCTTTCTTTTCTTGTGTTTTGTTATTACAAACTTGCCGATAGGGCCGATAGGGTTTTGTTGTCAATGTGAGCGGAGGAGATGGACAAAGAAAACAGCAACATGGTCAGCATCGACGAGTTCAAAACGTCAATGGCCACCAGGAAACTGTCAAGTTTTCTGGAGTCCTTGGGGATTTCCACACAAGATGTGTGGACGCTCTTCACCATCATTGATACTGACCAAAGCGGTTTGATCGACCTGGACGAGTTTGTTTCAGGGTGCATGGAACTGCATGGACCAGCAAAGAGCTACCAGATCTCGAAGATGAGTTGGGAAAACAAAGTGACACGGCAAGCCATCAAGCAGCTCTTCGCATTGCTCTTGGACATTCGGGAGCATTTGAACATGGAGTCCAAGTCTATTGACTTTGAGTAAGGGCTTCAGGCCGAACAAGGCCTCGTTTGCTCAGGGTATCTCTAAGAGACCCCTGTGTTGTGTGCGAAGGACGGGCTGAGTGCAGACCCCGTCAATGGACTGGCGTCACCAAAATGCCAGCCTGCTTGTCATTGGGACCATGATGTTCCTTATGGCTTGTTCGACTGGCCCGTACGAGTCTAGTCATTCTCGTGCAATCGTCTTTTTGCAGATGCGTGCGAGAGCTTCGGAATCTCCGCAACATATTCAAGCTAACAACATGTTCTTTTTCTAGTTTTTTCGTAACAAAAAAGCAAGGTGACAGTGACAACAATAGAGATCACGTGTCGTCCTTGAAAAGCCTAGTGGTTCGCTGACAGCCTGTCGTCAGTTTGAAGATGGCTTCATACTAGCCTTTGCGGCAAGTCATCAAAGGATGGAATCATGGCAGCCCGTGACATTGCAAGACCAGTATCGCGAATCCGTGCTCAACCTTAGTTCGTAGACCAAACATGATACCCAAGTCGGCTCGCTGTATCCTGACATCAGCTAGATCGGAGCGCATCGCGCCATGAGACTGCTGCCGGCATCTTTGCAGAACGCCTCGAGTTGTGAGGGCTGGGTCGAGAAGCCTGGATATCCCAAGCTAGATGGGTGCTGGATTCACGCGCCACAGGCAGGCCAGACCTTGCCGGAGTTCCATTTTGAAGAGGACGAGCCCAGAGCCGAGAGCCGAGAGCCGAGAGCCGAGAGCCGAGAGCCGAGAGCCGAGAGCCGAGAGTCGAGAGCCGAGAGTCGAGAGCCCAGAAATAGGTTGCCTGCGTTTGGCCCCGGGCTAGGATCACGAGAAGACGCGGGGCGAACCGCCTCCCTTCCTGTACCTGGGCTCTGGCTCGGACTGCCAGGTTCGCCTCACAAGCAGCTTTCCAAAACGCCTCTGCCGGCTCTTCAAGTACGGAAAGCGTTGGTTCCTGGAAGCCTTGCTGCCGAACCAGGTGGGCCATGTTTCTTGCGTCTGTCAGCATTGCTGCGATTGATGCCTCTTGATCTGGTTGCAACGTTGTACACTAACATTACATTCCTCCTTCTTCCTCCCTCCTCCAGCCCTTCCCCTTCCTCCTCCTCCTGCTCCTCAGCCTCATTTTTATCTTCTACGTGTATACATGCACTGCATACGTGCATGGGTGCATACCTGAAAACGTACAACGCGAAATCTTGCATACATGCAGGTAGGCATTAGATCGCATTGCATTACAATACACGACACTCCCGACACTACACTGCACTGCACGGCATCACACGCACCCCACGCCACGCCACGCCATGCCACGCCACGCCACACCACACCACACTACTCTACACACTACACACTACACACTAAACACTACACACTACACACTACACACACATTCCACTGCACTACCTCCCTGTATTTGTTTTTCTTCATCTATGACATAGGTATCTCTCTCTCTCTCTCTCTCTCTCTCTCTCTCTCTCTCTCTCTCTCTCTCTCTCTCTCTCTCTCTCTCTCTCTCTCTCTCTCTTCGCTCTCAATACAATATATATATATATATATCACATGTGCACATCTCTCAAAGCAAGCTGGAAGCTGCCGGTCCTCTTGGTTTGGTTGCATGTGAGGTGCGGCTGCATGGTGAGTACCTGACGGCGGGGCAGCAAGAGGCGTTGCAGGACCGGGACCTCATCGACTTGCCCGAGGGGGCCTACGAGATCCACATCGAGGAGCACGAGAGCCGGTACCTGGAGGCCTGAGAAATCCATCGCTCATTTGCCGCCCAGAGGTGGACTGGCAGAGATGAGCCGTTGGGGGGGGGAACACCGCAACTTAAGCTGTTCGCAGTTTCTTGACTCTAAGGACTGCGACTCATTGATGCTCAGCGAGCTGCGCAGATACGCATGGGGCCATTTGCAACTCTCTCAATATCGAAATACTTAAGATACTTGGTATTTTCTCAAAAAGGACAGCATCTTTTGATGCCTGGCCAGGAGCCGCCCTTCCCCAACCGGTTCCCTGCGCGATGGCCGCTGCGGTCGTCGCTGGCAGAGGCCCCGGAGGCCCCGGAGGCCGGTGGCGTTGGTGTGGCGGGGTGGTGAGGGGTGAGAAGATAGGGTATATTTTTTGCTGAAAACCCTCCCCTCCCGGCCGGTGTGCATGAATACCCACCTACAGGATGTTTATGAAAGGATCGATCATACTCATTTTCGGTCGTCTTGGGCTGCGGAATGGTGTGAGAATGAAGCTTATGAAGGACGGAGTGGGTTTCCCGATCTTGTTCCCTTCTCTCATTTCATCCCAACTTTATGAACTAGACAAGTTGCTGACATAACTGATAGCGGGTTGCTGGATAGGGTCCGTGAAGAGATTTCGTCGGCTGAGAAGGACTGACACACCCAGGAAGGTGCACTCCACCACAGCGGGACATTGTTTTAACCAGGGAGCAAGCTCGGGGTCATTTTGCCGGGAAAGCTGAAGCAGAAGGTCTTTTTTTCCCTGACCATCGGCTTCCAAACTCAGGAAAGCAACCATAATGGAATCAGTTGGAGGGATCAAGTGGAATTATTGAACTCAAATGGACAATACAGGGAAAAGGTTCCTTGACGCTTTTTCTTCACGTTTCTTTTTCCTTGGCGTGTTCTTGATTTGACCGGTGAAGCCCTATGAATATTGGGACAAGCAAACCACAGCCAGTTTTTTGCTGAGCAACCGGTTTTATTTCGCCAGCTAAGGTCGCTCTAAACCCGAAGGGGAGTGAGCAAAAGCGAAAGCTCAGGAGCTGCGGCGCCTGGCCTGGCAGACGGACCAGATGCGCCGGGGCTCAGAGCAGGACCAGGCCGGGAGCTGGCCTGGGGACCTCCCGCCACAAACATCTTAGTGTTAGTATGTGTTAGTACTGTTAGTGTTAAGTCAATAGCTAGGAAGAAGGGTTCCGTTCGCCACCGCCCGCCGCCCGTTTGGCCAAGCCGACTTGCGCAGTCGGTCCTTGGCTGCCTCCCTAAGGTCGGAGCCGCGTAATGGGTGGTCTGTGCGTTTCTTCAGCTTGCGCAACTATCAAAAACGACCCGACCCCGCGTGGACCCCAGTTTCTTTTTTGTTGCCACTGTTCCGTGGCTTGGCTTAAGCCTGACGTGTATATAGAGACTCACATCTCCCATCGCGACGAGGAGAAACATATTTTCCGGGCTTGCCGTGTCGCGCATTTGGCTTATAACATCATCTACAACAGCCAACTTTGACCGCGTTACATATAGATTGGACAATTCCTGTATCGGAGTAGACTTCGGCAGCCCCCTATTCTGAGCTCACCTCCCGGATCGCGCAGCCCTCGAACCCCCACGCCCCTGGTGCAATGAGCAAACCAACCAACCAACTACGACCAAACCAAGCGCAAGCAAACCCTAAAACCAACCAAAACCACTCCAAGAGAGGCCAAGGTATTCCCAAAACGTACAGTTCCACAGCAGAGGGAGGGATGGGGAGTGTTTGAATTCCGTAGAGGACATGTGCAAAATGGATGTCGTCCTAGCCTTTGCGGGAAGTTTGGGTTTTCTCCCCGCATGGCCTCCTCAAACCAGCAGACTACCAATGATTTTGTCAGTTGCTCAAATTTAATATGTGCACATATTTTAACGCCTCCGGCTCAGGCCGCCGACATTACAGGCCTGCTTTCTTATTTGCGTCCCTGTGGAATTGTCCCCTTGCCCCCTTCCCCTCTGAGATTTTTGCCCCCCTTCCTTTGTTGAGATCCATTCCCCCTTTCCGCCCTAAGGCCTTTGCTCCCTCTGATTTTTTTCCTTTTCCTCCCTAAGATGTTTTCCCCCCTCTCCCTGTTGAGATCCTTTCCCCCCTTTCCCCCCTAAGGCCTTTTCCCCCCTGAGATCTTCTCCCTTTTCCTCCCTTTCCCCCACTCCCTTCTACGGCCTTTCCTTTCTGGGATCTTTTCCCTTTCCTCCCTGAGATCTTTCCCCCCCTTTCCCTGTTGAGATCCTTTCCCCCCTTTCCCCCCTACGGCCTTTCCCCCCGCTGAGATCTTCTCCCTATTCCTCCTTAAGATCCTTTGCCCCCTTTCCCTGTTGAGATCCTTTCCCCCCTTCCCTTTAAGGCCTTTCCAGATCTTCTCCCTTTTCCTTCCTAAGATTGTTTCCCCCCTTTCCCTGTTGAGATCCTTCCCACCCTTTCCCCCCTCAGGCCTTTCCCCCCCCGAGAGCTTCTCCCTTTTCCTTCCTTAGATGTTTCCCCCCTTTCCCTGTTGGCCTTTTTTCCCCCAGATCTTCTCCCTTTCCTCCCTAAGATCTTTTCCACCCCTTTCCCTGTTGAGATCATTTCTCCGCTTTCCCCCCTAAGGCCTTTGCCCCCAGATCTTCTCCCTTTCCTCCCTAAGATCTTTCCCCCCCTTTCCCTGCTCAGATCCTTTCCCCCCTTTCCCCCTAAGGCCTTTCCCCCCCTGAGATCTTCTCCCTTTTCCTCCCTAAGATCTTTTGCCACCTTTCCCTGTTGAGATCCATTCCCCCTTTCCCTCCTAAGGCCCTTTCTCCCTCTGAGTTTTTCCCTTTTCCTCCCTACGATGTTTTCCCCCCTCTCCCTGTTGAGATCCTTTCCCTCCTTTCCCCCCTAAGGCCTTTTTCCCCCCCCGCGATCTTCCCCCTTTTCCTTCCTAAGATCTTTTCCCCCCTTTCCTTGTTGAGATCCTTTCCCGCCCTTTCCCCCCTAAGGCATTTTCCCCCCCCAAGATCTTCTCCCTTTTCCTCCCTAAGATCCTTTGCCCCCTTTCCCTGTTGAGGTCCTTTCCCCTCTTTCCCCCCTAAGGCCTTTCCCCTCCTGAGATCTTCTCCCTTGTCCTCCCCAAGATCTTCTCCCTTGGTTGAGATCCTTTCCCCCTTTCCCCCCAAGATCTTCTCCCTTTTCCTCCCTAGGATCTTCTCCCACCTTTCCCTGTTGAGGTCCTTTCCCCCTTTTCCCCCTAAGGCCTTTTCAGATCTTCTCCCTTTTCCTCCCGAAGATCCTTTGCCCCCTTTCCCTGTTGAGATCCTTTCCCCCTTTCCCCCCTAAGGCCTTTTCCCTGCCTGGGATCTTTTCCCTTTCCTCACTGAGATCTTTCCCCCCCTTTCCCTGTTGAGATCCTTTCCCTCCTTTCCTTCCTAAGGCCTTTCCCCCCGCTGAGATCTTCTCCCTATTCCTCCTTAAGATCCTTTGCCCCCTTTCCCCGTTGAGATCCTTTCCCTTCTTCCCTTTAAGGCCTTTCCAGATCTTCTCCCTTTTCCTTCCTAAGATTGTTTCCCCCCTTTCCCTGTTGAGATCCTTCCCACCCTTTCCCGCCTAAGGCCTTTCCCCCCCTGAGAGCTTCTCCCTTTTCCTTCCTTAGATCTTTCCCCCCTTTCCCTGTTGGCCTTTTTTCCCCCAGATCTTCTCCCTTTCCTCCCTAAGATCTTTTCCACCCCTTTCCCTGTTGAGATCATTTCTCCCCTTTCCCCCCTAAGGCCTTTGTCCCCAGATCTTCTCCCTTTCCTCCCTAAGATCTTTCCCCCCCTTTCCCTGCTGAGATCCTTTTCCCCCTTTCCCCCCTAAGGCCTTTCCCCCCCTGAGATCTTCTCCCTTTTCCTCCCTAAGATCTTTTGCCACCTTTCCCTGTTGAGATCCATTCCCCCTTTCCCCCCTAAGGCCCTTTCTCCCTCTGAGTTTTTCCCTTTTCCTCCCTACGATGTTTTCCCCCCTCTCCCTGTTGAGATCCTTTCCCTCCTTTCCCCCCTAAGGCCTTTTTTCCCCCCGCGATCTTCCCCCTTTTCCTTCCTAAGATCTTTTCCCCCCTTTCCTTGTTGAGATCCTTTCCCGCCCTTTCCCCCCTAAGGCGTTTTCCCCCCCAAGATCTTCTCCCTTTTCCTCCCTAAGATCCTTTGCCCCCTTTCCCTGTTGAGATCCTTTCCCCCCTTTCCCCCCTAAGGCCTTTCCCCCCCTGAGATCTTCTCCCTTGTCCTCCGCAAGATCTTTTCCCTTGGTTGAGATCCTTTCCCCCTTTCCCCCCGAGATCTTCTCCCTTTTCCTCCCTAGGATCTTCTCCCACCTTTCCCTGTTGAGCTCCTTTCCCCCTTTTCCCCCTAAGGCCTTTTCAGATCTTCTCCCTTTTCCTCCCGTAAGATCCTTTGCCCCCTTTCCCTGTTGAGATCCTTTCCCCCTTTCCCCCCTAAGGCCTTTTCCCTGCCTGGGATCTTTTCCCTTTCCTCACTGAGATCTTTCCCCCCCTTTCCCTGTTGAGATCCTTTCCCTCCTTTCCTTCCTGAGGCCTTTCCCCCCGCTGAGATCTTCTCCCTATTCCTCCTTAAGATCCTTTGCCCCCTTTCCCCGTTGAGATCCTTTCCCTTCTTCACTTCAAGGCCTTTCCAGATCTTCTCCCTTTTCCTTCCTAAGATTGTTTCCCCCCTTTCCCTGTTGAGATCCTTCCCACCCTTTCCCGCCTAAGGCCTTTCCCCCCCTGAGAGCTTCTCCCTTTTCCTTCCTTAGATCTTTCCCCCCTTTCCCTGTTGGCCTTTTTTCCCCCAGATCTTCTCCCTTTCCTCCCTAAGATCTTTTCCACCCCTTTCCCTGTTGAGATCATTTCTCCCCTTTCCCCCCTAAGGCCTTTGTCCCCAGATCTTCTCCCTTTCCTCCCTAAGATCTTCCCCCCCCCCCCCTTCCCTGCTGAGATCCTTTTCCCCCTTTCCCCCCTAAGGCCTTTCCCCCCCCTGAGAGCTTCTCCCTTTTCCTTCCTAAATCTTTTCCCCCCTTTCCCTGTTGGGCTTTCCCCCCTAAGTCCTTTTCTCCCAGATCTTCTCCCTTTCCTCCCTAAGATCTTCCCCCCCCCTTTCCTCCCTAAGATCTTTCCCACCCTTTCCCTGTTGAGATCCTTATCCTTTCCCCCCTTTCCCTCCCAAGGCCTTTCCCCCCCTGAGAGCTTCTCCCTTTTCCTTCCTAAGATCTGTTCCCCCCTTTCCCTGTTGGGATTTTTTCCCCAGATCTTCTCCCCTTTCCTCCCTAAGATCTTTTCCACCCCTTTCCCTGTTGAGATCATTTCTCCCCCTTCCCCCCTAAGGCCTTTTTGCCCCAGATCTTCTGCCTTTCCTCCCTAAGATCTTTCCCCCCCCAGCTCCCTGTTGAGATCATTTATTTCCCCTCTTTTCCTTCGAAGGCCTTTTCCCACCCTCAGTTCTTCTCCCTTTTCCTCCCAAAGATCTTTCCCGCCCTTTCCTCCCTAAGTCCTTTTCCCTGAGTTCGTCTCCCTTTGCCTCCTTAAGATCTTTTCCCCCCTTTCCCGCTTAAGATCCTTTCCCTCGTCTCCCCCCTAAGGCCTTTTCCCCCCAAGATCTCCACCCTTCTCCCCAAAGTCTTTTGCCCCTTAGGGCCTTCCCCCCCGAGAAAGATTTCCCTTTTCCTCCCAAAGATATTTTCCCCTCTTTCCTTGAGGCTTTTTTTCCTCAGATCTTCTCCCTTTCCTGAGATCTTTCCCCCCCTTTCGCTGTTGAGATCCTTTCCTGGGCAACATCCCCAGCATCACTTGCATCATCCGCATCCTTGGCAGGCGCTGATGCGGATGATGCAGGTGATGCTGGCGATGTGCCGCTGGAGCTGCTAAGGATGCGAAAGCGCACCCGGGGGGAATCGAACACCCCAATGTTTTTGACAAACTGAGTTGCGCAAGCCCGCACAATGAACAGATTAGTGAAGCGTCTTCGAATCACCGCGTGGTACGTGAACCCCCCGTCCCCTCAAAAAAGGGGTTAGCGAGGGGTAACAGGTAAAGAGGTAAGGAGCATTGTTTATGTCCAACACGCCGTCTGTTGTCGGCGGATATGCTTATATAGGTGGCTGGCACCGGATTGGGGAAATCTCAACTTGCTTGAGGAAGAGCATGCTGAAACACACACTTTCCGCCTTTTCCCCAGCCCAGTTCTGAAGATACATCCTGAACGGAGCTTGCGAATTGAGTTTCGTGGTGACTGTGCGGGATATCGAATAGGCAGTCTAACAACATGAATCCATACACACCAACGTGTAGGTGTGTATACATGCATATCTGTGTAGACATTTATACACACATGTACCACCACTATGAATGTACATACACATATTTTGGCACATCAGATGCAATCCTTTTGCCAGCCAGGTTCGTGTGTCGGATTGGTCCAGCTTTTCCCAGCGGCTCGGAACGGCACATCTTCCGGGACGATGCCAAGGTTTCCAGTTGTGAACCTCAACTCATCTTCTGTCTCTTTCGGCCTTTCACATTTTGTAGGCTTGCACGATTCCATTGGCCCACAAACAAAATGCACTTGGGCCTGAGTAATGTCATCTGAAACAAAGTGGGCTTTGATTCGTGTTCTTAAGACCTCCTCGACTCCCTCTAGAACCGAATCTGCAACGCTCCATCTTCAGAATCCAATGTGCCATTTGGCCCCCAACATCGGGTCTTTCAACGATGTGGGATGGGTGGTTTGGTTGTTTGGTGCTTTGCTAGCCCCATTTGAAGCTGCAAGAGTGAGGTTCAAAGCATGCGTGACATCCTCTCTGTTGCGACCTTCTGGATGCGAGAGGGCAAATCGACAAGCATCCGGACCACACAACTCAACTACTTTTCCCTCTTCCACAGAACCGGGGAGACTTCTTTTTTTTCCAGAAAGCTGAAAGCTATATGGGTTTAACTTCTAAAGAGGGACAATTATTTGCAAGATTGGCGGCTGGGTGGTAGGGGCGTGTAGGGTTCTGTTTGAGGCGCTGGGGCATTTTTGCAAGCTTGACGGCAGGATGCTGGGGCATGCAGTTGGGTGTCGGTTCAGGCTGTTGTTTTGGATGCTGTTTGAGGTGCAGGTGACGGGGCGCATTTTTGGCAAGATTGATGGTACGATGCTAGGGGGCATGCAGTTGGGGTGCTGGCACAGGTGCTTTTTTGGTGTTTTGTTTTTTGGGCGGGTGACGGGCGGGTGCGTTTTTTGCGAGATTGATGGCAGGGTGCCAGGAGCCATGCAGTTTTCGGCTGTTTTGGGATGCTGTCTGGTGCTGTTTGAGGTGCTGGTGTGCAGTCGTCGGCCTGTTTTTCGCTCTCTGGGAAATATGCCAGTCTATGCTGGTGGATTTTTCGCTATCTGACGAGGTACGTGAAGCAGCACTACCTGCGCCACGGCATCGACTGCGTCACGTGGAAGGCCTGCCGTTCGCAGGCGCTGGACGCCAAGCCTCCGAGCCGCGCGCCGCGAGCCCTGGCGCCGTGGCTCCAAGAGCTGCTGGTCTCCGAGCCTTGGACTCGGGGAAACCAGAAGGTCCTCGAGGTTCAACGGGCTTGGCTTCTTGCTTCTCCAAGGTTCTGGGCTTTCTGGTTGTTCATGTGGCTTCTCTTCCCAGAATATATGTGAGATTTGGATGGTAATCAAGTAAGTTAAGTGGGTCATGTTCAGCCCACTTGGGAAGTGGAGTTATGAATTCGGTCTGCAGCGCGGCATGGAGCAAACAAATTTTGGCCTTCCTCGCAAAATCAAATTCTGAGGTGACCCCTCGACTCCTAAGATCCTGCCAGTTGATGCAGCCAGACGACGACACAATCGTACCGGGAAGCGTCAACAACACCGAACGAACCAGATTGTTTGGGGATAGGATAGGCTGATGCTATTGCGACATGGAAGCTGGGTGCTGCGGGGGGAGGGTGCTGCACGCTCCGTATGCAAGTTCGCCGCCAATGGCGGTATCTGAAACATTGGAAGCTATTCCTTGCCTTTGAATGGGAGGATGGTCAAGGGTACTGCGAGGGGGCTGAAATTTCCGGGGCCTAGGAGAGGCAGCTGCCGGGACTGCAGCGCGAGCTGCCCTTTGCCAGCTGCCTCCGAGCATCGGGCGTGGAAGTTCAGACCATGTCGCCTCTGTCGCTAGCGACACCGGTTGCTCCGGCCGCGACACGGGCTGCGCCAACTGTGCCGTCTGGACTACTGGCACCGGCTGTGACACATGAGCATTCCGTGCCATCTGCTGTGTCAACCGAGCCTGCAGCAGTGGCGGAAATGCCGACGACGGACGAGATCTCTACTGCAGAGACCCCTGAAGCTCCCAAGGCGTTGCAGATGCCAATACGGGAGTGGCTGGAATCCATAGACGATTCCCTCTTCATGCTGCAGTACTACGAGGAGATCGTCTCTCACTTTGACTCGCTGAAGCAGATCCATGACATCTATGTTCGTGACAGCCAGGTGGATCCTCAGTTCTTTGCCGCTGCCGGTGTTTCCAAGCTAGGCCACAAGCGGATCATCGAGAAGTGGTTCCGGGAGCACTGCTCGCCCGGCTGAAAGGCAAGCGGGTGGCTCCCCGGAAGGCGACAGTTGAACTTCACGTGGCCGAGGGCGAGCTGTTGGACGTGCTGAACACAGGGCTCAAACGCATTCCACCGTAGCTGATACAAGAACGACACCGGCACGAGATGTCCCTCGGAGGCCTGCGAGACAACTCGCTTGCTGCATTTCTTGGGCATGCACGCACTGACACAACATGTAGGCTCTGGGGCGCTGGCGCATTAGGTGAAAAGGTGAGGAATCAGGCAGACGTTCTTGCATACATGTAGCCGTCAAACACGTTCCTTAGAACATGCCTGCGCAGTTCATTCGGCGGCAGCAAGACCGCGTTTGTGCCTCGCTGACCGCCGCTGTGATAGTAGCCAAACAGGAAAGTGCCACAAGACAAGCCTGGTGTTCATTCTGCGTGCATCTCTGCTTAGGGAAGTCGTTTGACCGAATCAGAAATGAGCAGAGCTGGGAGCTGTCAAAGCAATGCCCTTGTTTGCACTATAAGCTTTGGGTGAGAGGTTGTCCCAGCTAGTTTTGGAGTTCATCACACAGCCCTTTTATGTTTTAGCCCGTGGGGTCAAGGCGCTCTGTTCGCATCACATCCTGATCCGATGTGACACCATGGCTGCCTGGGATCCCTTCTCGGACCCGGCGGACGAAGGTGTGCCAGTCACTCTGAAGGGCGGCGACATCATCAAGGTCGATGATGGCGATGCGCCAGGGCAGCACCTCTGCGTCGGGAATGTGTCCGAAGGGGAAGCCCAGAAAGCCAAGACAGAAAGTTGGAAAGACCTCCCCCAAAAACGCCCAGCTTCTTCCCCAGTCCCTTGAAAGCCTTTTACGTTTTTTCTTCTTCCTTTTTTTCCCTCCAACTCTTCTTGATTTATTTTTCCCGAGCCACTAAAAGTTTGGGGTTTAGGGTTCGCCAACACGCCTGAGCCAACCGTCGAGAGCGAGTGTGAGACCTCAACGAAAGCTCGGGAAAGCTCGGGAAAGCTCGGAAAGTACGGGTTTGTCGGGTTAGTCTCTCTCTCTCTCTCTCTCTCTAGTCTGTCGGGTTTGTCGGGTTTGTCCAGGCGCCGCTGGACCCCTGGGACGACGGCACCTTCGTGGCGCTGGCCCGGGAGGCGGCAGCGGAGGCGGCGGCGCGGCAGGCGGCGGCGCTGGAGGCGTGGGAGGCGCAGCAGAAGCTCCAGGCGGACGAGAACCGGAAGCAGGACACGGCGCATGACCGCTACATGCCTAAGGAAGACGTGCTGGGACACGTGCATAGAAAAGTAAATAATCATAATACATATATATATATATATAATATATATATATATATATTATATATATAAAATATATATATATATATATATACATACATATATATATATATGATTTATATGATTATGTATGGTCATATGATCATTGTAGAATGTACGGATTAATGTATCAAGTCGTGGCATTGAATCAACTTGACCCGAGAAGCGTTGCGACGTTGGCACCTCTTTGGACTGTGGACCCATCCACAGGAGGAGCGGCGGGAGCGGCTGCGGCAAGAGGCCCGGGACTTCGCGAAGCTGAGCATTGAGGCTCGCCAGGGGCGCTGGAAATCTGGATGTGGAAAACTGGACCCAGTTGGGCTCTGGAAAAGAAGGGCGCCTGGTGTTTTTCGGTCGCTCGCAGGAGCGGCGGGAGAAGCTCCAGGAGCGGCAGAGGTACGCGGAGATGGCCATGGAGCACATCGCCAACGCCCCCGCCGTGGCCGCGGAAAGGCTCAGGACTGGGACAAGGGAGGGCCAGTGGGGGGGGGTTCGCAGTATTTGCACGTTCATTCGAGTCTGCTCTGTTTCATCATTTTGGCTGAACCTTTACGGATGTTTGGGTTGGGGGTCTGGGCGTCACTTATGAGGGGCTGGTGACATGGGTTGGGTATGGGCGAGGTCCAGGAGTCCAGGGTTGTTGATGTTGTGGACGAGTCTGCAAAACAAATTCAGAAGTTTTCTTCAGAAGGGTGACTGGGTGTCAATGACTAGTATTTGAAGAACGATATCGATTGGAGAACCCTTATCCAATCAACTCCGTCAGCTTTGGTGTATATATATATATATATATATATATACATAGACTCATATAAATATATATTTCTTTCACATCAGTATATATGAATCTATGAATACATATATATATATATACAAGAAAAGGATTTGTTCTTCTGGATGCGATGTGTTGGCGCGAGACCGGTCGGCTCAGGAAGTCCTCGTCCAAGTTGCCAGAGGTGGACGAGCTGGCGCTGGGTAGCGCGGCGGCGTCCATCGCGGCGGTTGACATGGGGATAAAGATCAGCTTCAAGAGCAAGGCGGAGGCAAGGAGCGAGAAGGGAAAAGCGAAAGGGAGAGCCAGTCTGAACCTTGGAGTTTTATGGTGAGAGGAACTCAGCCCCTTGAATTCGGAGTTTTCTTGTTTGGTGAAGAGAATGCTGGACGGATCTGAGCACATACTGCGTTCCAGTGTTGGTTTGCGGTAGGTGCTACGCACAAGCCTTGCGCACAAGCCTTGCGCACAAGCCTTGCGCACACGCCTCGCTATCTGAGCAACGATAAATGAGTAGATAAGTCAGTACATAGATAGATGCACAAATGCATGAATGAACAAACAGAAACAAAATACATAAATAATTAAACAAATGCATAGATCAATGAACAAATGAATGAATAGATACATAAACAAACAAATAATCAATAAGCAAATAAATAAACAAATACTGGAAGTCTAATGTTGGTGTGGGCAGGACATGGGGGGGGGGGGGTACGTTTGAATTTCCTACAAGTGGCCACCCCATCTTTGCATGTCCAAGTTTTTTCGTCCGCTCATTTGTCTTGCCAACTTCTGCTCGTGAAGTGCTCCTACTTGGCCATTTGGTTCTTAAAGACTATCTCACAATTTCCCCATGCACCTTTGACTATTGCACACCTCCGAACTCTGTCCAACGTCCAGCAACCAAGTCCTCTAGAGATTCCCGTCCGTTTGAATGGATTTTTGTTTCTTCGCTTTATTGAAGCCCCCCCTGCCCAAATTTCCAATCCTTTCCCTCGCTGGAGGCCTCGAGAATAGTGGCGCTGCTCTTCCCGGACCAAAGCTCCCGCAGCCTGAAGATGCTGAAGGGCCTGCAGGACCCGCAGCCGTTTTGCGTGGGGACGGATGCGTTGCGTTTTGTTTGCTTTGTTCGGGGGAAAGATCCCAAGTGTCCAAGTGTCTGGGAGAGTGGTATTCAGCAAACAGCAGATTGCAACTGCGAGAGACTGCGGCGACCCCTTGATAACCTGCTTGAAGATCGTTTAACCGCAGCCTCTTCTAACTCATGCCTACACATGCTCAAGTTCAAAAAAGTCAACAAAAACTCAAGACGTGGGACCCTCTTGCACCTTGCCCCCCGCAACAAACCAAAGCCAGGGGCCCGGTTTCGCATCTCAGGAGCTGCCTGGGGCGCGGCGATTGCGGGAGCAGAGCCGCGCTCTGCTGGGCTGGGACCCCCTGGAGGGCCCACAGCTGCTGAATGTCTACGAGCTGCTGAGGGGCCCCGAAGGCCGAGTGGCCGAGTGGCCGAGTCCGGGGTTGCCGGGCCGGATGCGACTCGGATGGGGCGTGTGGCTCGATGGTCAAAAGCTGGAGATTGAGAAGGATTATTTGTTGTCTCAGTGCGGCAACGTTACCCTGGAAAGGCAACGCTCGCAATTTCCATACTGCTTGGAACCCAAGCTGCAAACTTGCAGCGTGGTGGTAGAGAAAGGCGTGCTTATGTTGCAGTCTGAAAGTGTTTTCGTAGGCTGGCTCGAGCACACGCAGTTCTGCCCTGCGCCCAGCATCGTCCGCTCAAAGCTTGGTTGCGGCTTTAGGACAGACTTGGGCCCAACATGTTTGCCAACCAGCCGGAACCCGATCCGAACGACTTGAGGCCAGCCAGCAATGTACGTAGTGCAAGTGGCGGCGGTGGAGAAGCTTCGGGAGCCTCGCAGCGAACTGACTTTGCTTCCAAGTGGGACTCAAACGCCCTTTGGTATTTTTTTCCATTGCGTTTCCCTTTGGGTCTGCCTTTGGGTTTCCTGCAGTTCCCTTTGGGGAGATCAACGGGCTTGAGTCGGCAACAAAAACATGGAGCCCTGCTGTGTGCGTATTGAGTTGGCTGGCTTTCAGATATGAGTCGGAAATGAACGGCAATTTTCCCACCAACGAGCAAATGTTTGGACAACGGGGAATTCCAGGGACCATCCCTATCCCTGGCGGAAAGTGGGTTGGCGTTTAAGACCAACACTTTAAACAGCCCGCTCTTGAAGCGCCAGTTTTGACGCTGGATGTACTTTGCAGTTGGTTGGGGTTCAGCCCCTCAAACATTCAGCGGTCTGACGGGCGTTTGATCCGCATTTGCTTGTTTACTCAACCAGCTGCAAGCTGCCTTCAGCCGCGATAATTCAGAAAGCTGTCAACATTGCTTTGCAGCCCCCCACCAGTTTCTTTCCAAAAAGGTGTGGCTTACGACCCAAAGCCGGGAGAATACCAGCGGGAACCAGGCGCCATTTGTTTCCAGGATAAGCGCCCGGGTGCTTTGGAGCGCTGCAGAGCTGTGGCAGGGCTCTCCTTGGGAGACTATGCCCCTCGTGCAAAAGCCATGGCTTGTTTGTCATGCGCGCTCTGTTTGTTTGTTAGTTTCTTAGTTTGTTAGTTTGTTTTGCTTGCTTGCTTGTTTGCTTGCTTGCTTGCTTGCTTGCTTGCTTGCTTGCTTGCTTGATATTTGTTTGTGAGGGTGTGAGTGGGGCAGGCGCGTGTGGAGAGGTAGTTGGGGACGTTTTGCAACAGTGCATGCCCTCACTGCTACTTTGCCAGGAGACAAAGCTTGCACGGCCTGTCAATCAATGCAATTTGTTCAAACCGTGCATTCCGTTTCCATACCTGCAAATTCTTAGAACATGTAAGCTTCAGTTGATTGATGACACTTCAACCTGCAGGGAGCCATTGCAATCATGATCAGGGGAAAGGGTGCCCACTTCCTTTTTTGTACTTTTACAATGGACAAGTGCGGGCATTTTTGCTTGATCCGTGCGCTTTCAGGGGTTCGAAAGTTGAGGACCCTTGCCCTTGTCTGGTTCTCGGTTTTGTCTTTGAGCAGGGAGGCAATCTCACGGTGTCGTTCGTATCCTCCGCCTCGTCATGCACCGGACATGAGCGCCTCAACTGGCTTGTGCAGGCTGCTTCAGCAACCATCGCTTTGGTTCTCTGCATCAGTCCTACAGGGGCTGTGGAAATTCAGCCAGCAATCCACCTCACAATTCTCCTGAGGACGTGAACAGAGTTTGTGGTGCACACCTTGGTTTCTAGACCTTGAAACAATCACTGTTCTTTCAAGGCCATTGGTTTGGCTCACCTGTGTGAGAGACCCCGTTTCTCCCACTGATCCAGCAACGGGTTGGTGTTCAGAAAGTGACCTATGTCACAATGTACGGCTGGAGTGAGAGTCGCGCGGTTCGAGTCGCGAGGCGGCGCTGACCTTGGCGGAAGTTTGGGACTTCGAGATGGGCCTCCGCGCCGTGCAGCTCCGCGGCGAGCTCATGGAGGTCGCGGGGCCGGAAAGCGCCTTTTCAATGGCCGCAAACAGGGTTGCCTAGATTTCCCCCCTTTGTCGGTTTTTAAACGTCACCCTTTTTGGCCAATTTAAAGTGAATCTCTCTTTTGGTGGGGGGCTTTGATTCTCTGGTTTTCTCTACACTCGTCCAGGCCGCCATCGCCGAGCAGCCGCAGGCGGCGCTGGCAGTGGCGGGCCTGTCCGAGGAGCGGCTTCAGTGGAAGTTGGGACACACCGAGCCAAGAGCACCAGGCCGCCCAGGCTTTCCAGGTCTCACATCCAAAGAAAGCGTCAGGAGCACCTCGGGCGGCTCTGCGAAGACTGCAGAGAGCCGCTGGGCCAAAGCGATTTTTTTTGCTTCTCCGGGGAACGGTTTCCAAAATGCCACAGGATGCATCCCTAATTTGGGCGCAGCCAGGTGGCTGGATGGCAAATTCATATCTTCGGACAATGACCAAGGAGTCGCAAGCGTTGGAGCTGAGGCAAGGATGATTGTGTGGACATAGTTGGCATGGATGTGTCAGCAAACGGGCAGACCTCAAGCAGTGCGATCATGGCGTTGCTCGTATACTGTCATAGAGCGTGCAATCGTGGCCCGTTTCACCTCTCATTGCATCGACGCAATGCCAACCTAAGAACCTCTAGCAGCAATGCTCTCGGTGCGTTTCTAGTCGAGGTGATGAGCACCTGAAGCCAGCCATCAGCGCATGCTGTTTTGTCGCACGACGCTTGGGCGGGTTTTGGGGTTCCAGGAAAAGCAGCCCAGTCATTCTTCAAGTCAGATAGCTTCTTGAGTTTTGTTTCGTCCGCGCGTGCTTTCGGCATTGCTGGGTCTGCGGCCCATGTCGGACCCTTGAGCCGAGGTCCGAGGTGTGCGGGGTCGCACAGCGCCTCTTCCCCGAAGGCCGATGTTGACACTCCATCCATTTGGCTCCGCTTAGTAAGGCCTTAGCAAGGCCTCATGTAGTGAGCTGTTTGAGGAAATCTGCATGACACTGACGCAGACTGCCGCAGACTGTGCGTGAACAGAAGAGGAAGCCTTTCCTGCGGATTTGCGGGCAGATGCAAGAGTTTGACTTCAGAGATGTGCTGTGGAATCAGAGACTGTCTAGTGGTTACTTGAGCTTTACTTCATGGGATTGATGCTAGCCACGCGCAGTCATCCTTCGATCCATTCCATTTGTTTCTGTTCCACAGGCTCATGTTTATGCCCGCAACCCTTCAAGAATATTGGTCCATTGCATGCTTCCATCGCCAGGCTTCCTGTGTGCGGGCCACGACACCGCAGTGGCTCGACTGCTGGAGCGCGCGCGGCGGGCTGAGGGATGCAAGCAGGCCTGCGCGAGCATGGGAATGGAACCTTGCGCTGGCGATGCTGCTGGGCTGGGTAGTGATGGTGGTGGTGGTGGCGGCGGCGGCGGCGGCGGTGGTGGTGGTGCGGCTGCTGCTGCTGCTGCTGCTGCTGCTGCTGCGGTATGTTTGTGCTTCCTGCGCTTCTTGCGCTTCTTTCGCTTCTAGGGTTTCTTGTGTTTTTCTCACTTCCGGTGCTATTTGGTTCTCTTCTGCATTTTTTTCAGCGTTTTGCTTTTCATGTTTTCTGCTTGTTGCGCTGATGTGCTTCTTATGCGTCTTGTTGATCTTGCACTTCTATTGATTGTTGTGCTGCTTGTAGAGCACTTCGAACTTGTGGCAAGGCAATGAAGGACCAGATGAGGTAAAATTGTGCCGTTGTTCTTGCTCCTGTTGTTCTCGTTCTCGCTCTCGTTATCGTCCTTGCCGTTGTCCTTGTCCTGCTCTGGCTCTTGTTGTTGTTCTTGATCTTGTTTTTGTTCCTGTTCTTGTTCCTGTTCCTGTTCCTTTTTCTTGTTATTGTGCTTGTATGTATAGTTCTTGATTTTGTTGTTCTTGTTTTTGTTTTCTGCTCTTGTTCTTATTATTATTCTTATTATTCCTCTTCTCTGGCTCCTCTCCCTCTTGTAATTCTTGTTCTTGTTCTGATTGTTCTCATTCTTCTTCTTCTTCTTCTTCTTGATGTTATTCTTCTTGTTCTTCTTCTTCTTGTTGATCTTCTTCTTGTTCTTCTTGTTTTTTGTCTTGTGCTTCTTCTTGTTTGTCTTCTTGTTCTTGTTATTGTTCTTCTTTTTGTTATTTGTGTTCTTCTTTGTTCTTGTTCTTTTTCTGGTTCTTCTTGTTTTTGTTCTTCTTTGTTCTTGTTCTTTTTCTTGTTCTGATTCTTGCTCGTCTTCTTGTTCTTTTGCTTGTTCTGATTCTTGCTCGTCTTCTTGTTCTTTTGCTTGTTCTGATTCTTGCTCGTCTTCTTTTTCTTTTGCTTGTTCTGATTCTTGCTCGTCTTCTTGTTCTTTTTCTGGTTATTTTTCTTGTATCTGCTGCTGCTACTACTACCGCTGCTGCTACCGTCGTCGTCAGCGTCGTGGCTGTGGTTGTGGGTGTGGTAGACCGCAGCAATATGGATTGACAAGTCACTTGAGCCGCAATCAAAACCCGGGTAGATGAAGGTTAGTAAGGGACAATCCCAGCCATAAATAGTTGCGGCCGCCTTCGTATTTCCTGACATGATTATGGGTCAACCATGTTAATACCAGGTTTTGATTGTGACGTTGGCCAGGTGCAAATGTTGAAGCTGGCAGGCTGGGGGTGAGCAGAAGGCTTCAGCCGTCGATTGGCTTTATTGTTGTTGCTGATGAGAACAAGTGAGATCGTTTGACCTCTATACATGAAAACACAAATCTCAGTCACCAAGATCTCAGGCAAACCGCTGAGTCCTGTTTTGCAATCCGCACAGCTCCTTGCGAATTCTAGCAATCACCCTATCCTAGCCCTTGTGTCAAGGTTACTGTATACACATCATAAGGCACTGCACATGCTCGGACAAACAATGTCAGCACCGCTGCAATCTTGCACGGCGTATCTATGTTCTTTGACTATTTCCCGCATGCTGGGGCATATCGGGCGAACAAACATGTTGCTTGCGCTATTAGGGCATGTTAAAGGTGGCCCAAGATTGGATGGGCTCCAGCCGCCTTAAGAAGCAGATCATATATGGCCTCTTTTGACCATGTTGGGAACGGCCGTGTTGTGCAGGTGCCTGCCATACGCAGCTGATGGAGGCTGCCAGCGAGCAATTGCCCTCGGCCTCAGTCTGCTCTCCCAGTCGGGAGTAAGAAGGGCGTGTTCAAGTGTTCATTTTTGGAGGGCTTCACGCCTTTCAGATGAACCTCAGAACGGCAAATCCCCAGACTCGTCCCCAGCACTCCTCTTACTGGCCATACTGATCACCGCCTTTGGCGTTTTCTGGGCTGCAGAACTGTCAGGCTGGAGCTCCTTCAGAGCTTCGAGGGCAGCATGAAGCCCCCGAGGCGCGCACGCTTACCTGCGTGAGGGGTACCTGAAAACAGTCCACCACAGATGCCATCTTGCGGGAGGAAAGGTACCTGACATTTCCCCCGACATCACCAACACCTTCCAGGTCCAAGAGCCCACTCACACCAAGTGTCCCGCCCTTGAAACCAAAGCCTAGCCATTGCAGGAGGGCAGACCAGCATGGACCACTTGAACGGCTGGAAGTGTGCAAAAGGGCGGTTTGAGTCCACCTAGCAGAATAAAATCGAACCTTCCGGCAGGGTTTTCCATTGTTTTCCATTTGGCTTCTCCGCCTCTCAGCTTATTGGCTTGTTCCCGCCTGCAGGCTGGACTTGTACCTGAGTTGCGGCAAGAAGGCAGGGGGTGAGTCTGGGCCAGAAATGAAAGCAACAGTAACGGCCGGCTGATGGGTGGACAGGGTAAGGACAAGGTTCTTTTGGCCAGGCAGGGTGCTTCCCAGCGGCATCAAATTGTGTCAAGCTGCATCATGTTTGCGGTTATTTGTCTCAAGGACCTTGAGACTCCGTCACTTGTTTCTGTTGCAGTGTTTGGAGGAGACCTTGGATTGACGCAACCCCCCACTAACAGCTCCAGTCGGCCTGAGCTCCCTTCTGAGCAGCCCAGAGAAAACGACTTTGCGGCTGATCATCCTGCGCCCTTTTGCTCCCAAAACCGGGACCCCGCAGGTGGCTGCAGGTAGCAGCCCCAGCTGCCTGCCGCGGCTGCTAGCGCAGCAGCCGCATGGCCAGCAAGCAGTTTTCACATATATATGTATATATGTATGTATGTATATGTATATGTATATGTATATGTATACATATATATATATATACATCTACACAACATTCTTTGCCTGAATGTTGACCACCAGGCACTCCAAAAACAACAAGTCCTGAAGGCGCAGGCTAACCTCCTAGGCCAAAGCTAGGCCCATGAAAGTGTTATTCTGCAACATCACCTTGTAATGTCCACTGCAGCGGACCCATTACACATTGTCCTTACGTAACATGTGTGGGAGAGATTTGGCAAGCTGAGCCGATCGAACAGAAACTCAGCCAGGGGCAGGCCATGTGGGCTTGCCTCCTCCTTTTCCCGTTCTTTCTTTTGTCGCGAACTGACGGCAAACATCGCAGGCTGATGAACCAGGCGAACTGGATGGGCAGCGTCTCTTCAATGCTCAAGGCCGGCTGGTGAACAGGCACCCAACGTCCGTTTTTGCTTGGGACAAGACACCTCAAACAAAAATCCAAGCATTTTCCTGTGCAGGTGGCCATCTTAAAGGATTTCCCTCGAGTTTCTCGCATGGTGCTTGCGCAGGAAATGTGATGACCCCGTGTTGGGACGCAGCTTTTCGCGCTTGCCTTGCGAGGACGGCTGTGGTGAGTTCTACGAATGTGGTCCGCAGCACCCCCAGAGTGGCCAGAGGGTTTGTCTCGCCTCCTTTCTTTACCCACGGAAAGCATGATAAGTTGCATTGGTCCAGTGTTTGTGTAGAACCCTTTGTTGTTGTGTTTCTAGTCAACTTTACTGCATGTGAAGGGCATCCAGCCAAAATGGGAGGTCAAGGCTTGCGTCCTCCTATTCAGGCAAGCTCACAAGGAACAGCTCTTTTCGCAGCGAAGCAACGTCTCCTGCGCTTTGTCTTCAAGATTCCTCCACAATCTATACAAACAGCAAGCGCATCATGTCCATCAGTGCAAAATCAAAGTGTTTTGCGATTTTCAACTTGCCCGCGCGACCCTTTGCAGGGATCGGCGTGGTCGATGTAGAAAAACTGAAGGCTTCTTGCGATTCCTGCCGTGCACGCGTGACCCTCTGCGGGGATCGGCGTGGTCGAGGTGCGAAAACTCGAGGGTTTTTGCGATTTCTGCGGTGCCCGCGCGACCCTCTGGGTGGATCATGAATGTCGGATCACTCTCGCTATGGCCCCGTGCGAATCTTCGCGGTTCGCGCGCGTCCCTCGCGGGGATTGCGCGGGTCAGATCGCTCTCGCTGTGGTCCTGTGTGAATCCTCTTGATCTGAGCGCAACCGTTTGCAGGGATCAGGCTGCAAAGTCGCAACTTTTCAGCGCAAAAGTAGTACGCGAAGCACGTCCCTGCAGCTCTGGCTGCAAAGTCGCAACTTTTAAGCGCAAAAGTAGTACGCGAAGTACGTCCCCGCAGCTCCGGCTGCAAAGTCGCAACTTTTAAGTGCAAGAGTAGCACGCGAAGTACGTCCCCGCAGCTCCGGCTGCAAAGTCGCAACTTTTCAGTGCGAAAGTAGTACGCGGCTAGCTGCAAAGTGGCAACTTTCAAGTTCAAAAGTAGTACGCATGGCACGCTCCCGCAGCTTTGGTTGAAAAGTTGCACTTTTCAAGTTCAAAGTTAGTACGTGAAGTACATGGCACATGGCAACTTGCTGAGAGCGACGTGCAGGCTTGCGCAGAACAATTTGCGCAAAGACAATATCTACAGAGAACATCCTGCAGCGTGGGAACCCTGTTGTCCGAACGATGTGGTCTCTTCCATGGCAAGTCTTCAAACGGAGTTGTCTCTCTGCATATACCTTGGAAATTGTTGCTTTTGGCACTGCCGCCGTGCTCGCATTCGCGTTGGGTAGCTGGAAAAATGACCGATTCAGGCTGCGTGTCATGGAAAGTGCTTTCAGGCCACCCGTCTTCTAGTTTTTGTTCTTTCTTTATTTCTTTCTTTCTTTCTTTCTTTCCTTCCTTCCTTCCTTCCTTCCTTCCTTCCTTCCTTCCTTCCTTTCTTCTTTGTTTGTTTGTTTGTTTGTTTGTTTGTTTGTTTGTTTGTTTTTCGTTTGTTTGTTCAACAATTCCAAATGGACAGCAGCAGGGGGGGATAGAAGCTGACAGGGGGGTTCGATGGAAAGAGGGTGTGACTGCACAGGGTCGGAGCCTGGCGCAAGTGGCCAAATCGACTGGCGACCTGAGGCTCAACCAGCTGAAAGGTGCCATGAAACGCATCGACCCCGTGGCCCACAAGGAGCGATCCGCGTGCTGAGCTGGGGGTAGGGATTTGTTTGGCTGCCCCAACGAGGCCAGGAGCCAGCGATGATTTGCGCGGCTATGAAATACAATGCGCATTTCGCGCACTTCAGCCTGTGGACATAAATTCGCATGTAAATGACGCTCACCAAAGCATCAACAATTGAGCCTCATACCCAGGTACTGAGCCAAAAAGTCAAGTTGCTTTTTTTGAGGTCGCCCAAAATTGGAACTGTAGTATGTTTGGATGGCCTCACAGCCTCAGGCCACCATCGCTCTGGACGTGTACAGCAGAGCGCTTAGAGACATTTGGCGCCAACCCAGCTGATGGAATCACCATGGAAATTGGGGGAACCCCAAAAAGAGGGCTCCCCTAAAACATCTCCTAGTTAAACACACCACTAAGATATCCCCAACATGTAAACGTCCCAAAACAAGCGTGATTGACGCGCTCTAGCCTAATCAGCGTGATTTCCCTTCGCTTGGATCACGGGGCCATTGCTTGAGGGACTTGGTGAATTTGTGATTGGTCTGGTCTGTATCTGAGATTGTTTTCGTGATGTTCACCGTGCAACAAAATGTGGGGCTGTCCAAGGGAAACCCCTCAAGCTGGCCTTTTTGGGTTTCCAGTCGTGTGGCCAAGATCAAAGATCAAAGTGCTTCTTGCCGCAAGGCCAAGATGCGCAGATGAAGCCGGGAAGTCTGCCGCCTCGTTGGGTGCTGCCCTCGAGGGCCCCTCCAAATTGGTCCTTTTGAGAAAGTCCAAGGGCGATTTCTTATTTGCGATTGTGTGCCAAAACCTTTTGCAGTTGGTCTGAAAGGGAAGTGACGTGTAATCAGTGTTATTGGAGGGTCCCTCAGTTAGACCCATGTGCCACGGTTGCAACAATAATTTCTTACCGTGGTTATGAAGCAGCGTCTTTTCGTTTCTTTTTCGTGGTCGGATCCCTTTTTTCAAAGGCAACCCTTCACTGGGATCATGGAATATGACTGCCAATTCATCCATCCGTGCTTGCCCTACTTATTGTAAGCGCTCTTGTGACAGGAGCAATGACCATTCGCGATGTGAACTGAGAGGTGATAGTCTGTATCTTGCTTGAGGGCACAGGGAACTGAGTTGGTTCCAGCCCATATGTGTGGACAAGCTTTGCGTTTCATCCTACCCTTGCTCATTTGACATGACGGTTTTGCAAGGCGGACCTGCCCATGGCCATGTCAGCGGAGCCAGCAGCTGAGATGGTCGAGTGCAAACTCTCTTGAAATTGGAACGCAGAAGTATCTGAATCCTCTGGTAGGAGGGGGGCCTTTGCGACGAGCGGCGCCTTCTCATTTGGGAAGCGAAACTTGCATCTATCGGCCAACCGGATAGCAGGAAAGAGCCTCAACAGCGACAACCCCTGATTGATGCAATTTGCAATTCAGCGCCTTGTATTTATCCCAACAACGTAGCTACCCTGGTTTTAGAGCTAGAGAATGGTTGGCAGGAGTGGAGTTCATTCTCGACGCGCCATCCAGAAGGGATCTAAAGTCGTTGGTGCACTTGGGGTGACTGTGCCAAGTTGTGTGTAACATCAGGGACCCCGTTTTCGTTTTTCAACACACACTTTGACTTTAACTCTGCATTCAGAAAGTTGCAAGCGCCGGGTTCTTCAGGCTTTGGCAGTGCGCTTCCTGAACCAACGATGGATTCCCCAGATATTTCAACCACCAAGTGCTGTACATGTCAGATCTCAGGCGTTGGCTGCTTAGATGTTCCGGGATGCGCTCACCACACCCACTCTTGCCCGTCTCTCCGCTCCGGTTTGTGGCTCCGCTTCGCCTCAGGCCTGGTGCTCCTCACTGACACCTGCGTGGCCCGTTGCAAGAGTCCGGGAGGTGGCATTGCAAGAGAATCCCGCAGCTAGCGGTCATGTTGTGTTCGCTTGTGTTGTGTTTATGCCGAGAAGTCAAGGATTGAGTGTTCTGGATTTCCTGTCTCCCAACCTTCTCTGCCACTCGAGCGACGCCGTTCTGGCGTTTGTGCTTTAGGGCCACCTCCCTGCTCCGAACGGACTTTGCCGGGCTTGTAGCACGTGCTGCGCTGTGCCGCGTCTGTCCAGAAACAAGCAGGGAATGGAGAATGTATGCACTTGTTTGACCTATGAGGCCTTTCCTTGGACATGTTCAGCATTAGGGGCTCCTTGGTCCAGGGGTCCTGTCCTCTCATTTTGAAAGAGTCTCGAACGCTTTTAGGTGACCGGACGCAAAGCATTGCAGTGGTTCGTGCTAGATTCGGCTCGTGAACTTGCCGCTGTAGGAGCGGTGTGTCCCTTTTGATTAGTTTGGAATGGCGCTCGTTCGATTGGCAGCGGCCGAGAGTTGATGCCAGCAGGGCAATTTGCATGCTGGTGGGAAGAGCAGGTGGTCGCGAGAGAGGCTGGGGCGGTCTTTCGGGATGAGCTGTGGCAGCCCTTGGCCAAGAAGCTTCAGCTGGGGAACTTCAGGCTCTTCGCGTTGGTCGGCGCAGAAAGTCTGAGGCTGGTAGGGCCAGAGGGCCATGGAAAAATGCTAGCGTCTTGTTGGCAGTCGTGCGGAACACATCCCAGATGAAAGCAAGTGGGTTTGGCCGTCAAGCAAAATTTTGCATTGCTTGCTGGAAGCTCGGGCTGACAAGGACAAGGCGGCCATGGATGGTGTCACAGCTTTTTATGCTGCCTTTTCTCAGGCTGAAAAGGCAGACCGTCGGGAGTCACAACCTTGCATACGACCACAGTAGCGGGCGCATCCGCTGTTGCGCAGTGTGTGCTGGCAGCTGGTGCTGACAAAGACAAGGCGCCCAACGTTGGGATCACACCGTCTATGCTGCTGACTGTGTCTACTTTGACATTGTGCAGTGCTTGCTGGCAGCTGGTGCCAATGAGGGCAAGCAGGATATTCGTGGCTCCACACCGCTGGGTGCTGCTTTTGCTGCCGCATGCTGCTTGCCAAGATGGTCACCGTCAAATAACGCAGTGCCTGTTGGAAGCCGGCGCTGATGCATCAAAGGCGGCCGTTTAGGGTGATGTGCCACTATTTGTCGCCGTGTCTCTGGGTCACTGGGTAGTGTTGCTGGATGCTTGTTGGAAGCTGGGGTGGCTCCAGCATTTCAATCGCACTGTCATGCTTGGAGTTGGTGTTGACGGAAGTCGTCATGGCAGTGCGTCAGTGTATTGATTGGACAAGTCGGCGCACGCATGCCACCCGCGCTTGAAGGGCAGTTCGAATCTCACCAGTGTAGATGACTTGAAAGCATCAGAATTTCATTTTAGATCCGCGCTGCTTAAAAAGAGAATATCCTTCAGGAGTGCAGGCGTTTTGTGTGCCGGGGGGGGGTGCTTTCCTTGCTTGCATGCTTTCTCTTTTTTGTTTACTTTCGTTCTTGTTTTGGTTGTTTTCTGCTTTGTGCCCTTCTTGTTTGTTTGGCTTCTTTGGTTTGCTGGTCACTTTTGTCTGCTTTCGGGCAACCTCACCACAGGGTGTAGATTTGATTTGCTTTGCCAACTTCCGTTGCATCACACTTGTGGTATAGTGGCCATTGCGTCCGCATTTGGTCTGGCGATGGTTTGTTGTTTTGTGCCATTGTGCTTTTTATGTTTGCTTTCTGCATCATACCTCTAGACCAAACACCCAGCAAATGCCTATCCAGATGCAATATATGGAGGGAGGGGCATTGTGTTTGCTTTCTCTTTTTGTTTACGTTGTTCTTCTGTTTTTTGTTGATTTTTTGCTTTTTGCTTTCTGGATTGAATACCTATGACTGGTTTCTTTGTTTGCTTTTGTTTGCTTTCTCTTTGTTGTTTGCTGGACTACTTCCTTCCCTCCTGGACTCTTTTTGAGGTTTTTGACAGCTTTTTGTTGTCCGTTTGCGGCGTTTCATTTTCTCACTTCATTCCCGAAAGCATTGCGAAGGGTTCTTCCGGTAAAGTCGTTGCGTTCTGCACAGCTCAACTGCATACTGAAATGCATAGATGCTTGCACAGGGAAAGTAGACAGTGTGATGCGTAGAGGCATGCGCAGGGAAAGAAGATAGTGAATTGCATAGAGGTATGCATAGGGCAAGTGCAAAATGAAATGCACAGATGCATGCATGCACAGGGAAAGTAGACAATGAAATGCGTAGAGGCACGCGCAGGGAAAGTAGACGGTGAAATGCGTAGAGGAACGCATAGGGAAAGCGCACAGTGAAATGCGTAGCTATCTTGCATTCCTTCCCGGGCGAGCATAACTTGCACGAGGAAACTTGCACGCTTTCTTAAAATTAGAATCTTAAGGCGGCGCGGTGGGACCAAGCGCGCTCTTCGAAAAGGCGACCGTCTCAGGGATCGGCGTGGTCGATGTGCAACTGAACATCTTTTTGCCGTGCGCGTGCGACCGTCTGCGGGGATCGGCGTGGTCGAGTGCAAAAACTGTTTTTTTTGCGATTCCAACTTGCCCGCGCGACCTTCTGCAGAGATCGGCGTGGTCGATGTGCAGGGCTTTTTGTGATTTCTGCCGTGCGCGTGCGGCTGTCTGCGGGGGTCGTGCGTGTCGGATCGCTCTCGCTGTGGCTATGGTCCTGTGCGAATCTTTGCGGTTCGCTCGCGACCCTGTGCGGAGATTGTGCGTGTCAGATCGCTCTCGCCGTGACATGGGGCAAGTGCAGGGTGAAGTTCACAGACGCGTGCGCAGGGAAAGTTGAAAGTGAAATGCGTGGAGGCATGCCTAGGGCAAGTACAGAGTGAGGTGCTTAGAGGCATGCGCAGGGAGAGTGCGCAGTGAAGCGCACAGACGCACGCACCGGGAAAGTGCAGAGTGAAATGCTTAGTGGCACGCGCAGGGAAAGTAGACAGTGAAATGCATAGAGGCATGCGTAGGGCAAGTGCAGAGTGAAGCGCATAGATGGATGTGCAGGGAAAGTAGACAGTGAACTGCCTCTACATGCGCAGAGTAGCCAGTGAAGTTCACAGAGGCGTGAGCAAGGCAAGTACAGAGTGAAGTGCGTAGATGCATGAGCAGGGAAAGTAGACATGCGCAGAGGCACGCGCAGAGTGGACGGTGAAACGCGCGCAGGGCAAGTAGACAGTGAAATGCACAGAGACGCGGACAGAGTAGACAGTGAAATGCATAGAGGCATGCGCAGGGAAAGTAGACAGTGAAATGCATAGATGCAGGGAAAGTAGACAGAGGGAAGCGCGCAGTAGCATGCGTAGGGCAAGCCCAGAGTGATGCGCATAGCGGCATGCACAGGAGACAGTGAAATGCAAAGTTGGAAAAATGGACCGCTTCAGGCTGCGCGTCATGGAAAATGCTTTCGGGCCACCCGTCTTCTAGTTTCTCCCTTGGAACTTCTTGGAATTCCGATGTCAATGCAAAACCTTAAGCCTTCAAACCCGTAGAGAAGACATCAAGGAGTGCGTGCACTGCGTCCACACACTGAGCCTTGAAAAAAACGTCTTTCTTTGCTGACCAAGGCCGAGTTGAAATGCCAGGCCCGGTTCATTAGCTACTCGCCACCTTGGCTCATCCGGGCGTAGTCCGTCTATCAACTATCGCGCTTCTAGTTGTATTACGCGTGCGGCAGCTATGACAGCCAAGAACATCCGAGCAGTTGGCATGTACTTGGATGGTAGCAATCCGGAAAATGTCGATCCGGTTCCAGCCTTGAACTGGACCTCCAAGGACGACATCAAACATGTTATCGTGTATGGCCTACGTGTCTCGCCAGCAGTGAGGAAGCTCCTTGCCTGCCTTGTTTACTACAAGGTTCCCTTCACCTTCAAGCCTGGAATTGGGAAGAAAGGATCAAAGTACTACAAGAAGATGCCAGTGGTCGATGTCAACGGACGTCAAGTGAGCCCTTGCTGGGAGCGATGCCTTCAACCTCGATTGGGAGACAAAGATTGCCTATCAGTATCAGATGTCCACTGTCTACCACCTAACGAACCAGGAAGCGATCGCCAACTTCAAGGGTAAGGGAGGAGATGGCCCATTGCCTGGTTTCCTTGCCTCTTGCATCCTTCCCAGGATCCACAAGGGTGGATTGAAGGACCTCAAAGCCAAGTTTGATGATCCAAATGCCCTGGAGAAGGAGGTGAACTTGACAGTGTTTGCGAAGGAGTTTGCAAGCGCCGTGGATGGCAATAACTTTCTTGGTGGCTCCGAACCAAATCCCACGGACGTGTCCTTCTATGGCGTGAATGCCCGCTATGTCTTCCTGAAGATTGACACAATCGTGGGCGCGCTGGATGCTGCAGGGCTTATGCCGTGGTTCAAGCGAATGGAGGAGCTGATTCCGCTCGACAACAAGCCAGGCGCAATCTATTCCATCAAGAAGAACGAGACAGTCACGTTCTGAGCACTTGGTTGCGCTTGAAGTGTTTTGAATTGAAAGGGCGTTGCCGCTGACAGCGGGGTGCAGCAGATGGATGTGTCTCCGAGAGGGTGCTTTTAAAAGCAGTAGGCAGCGTCATCAAATGGCTGTCTTCCAAAAAGGATTGTAGACATGTCACATGGCGGTGCGCTTGCTGTGCTGTTGTAAGAAGTTCGCGGGTTGCACTGAAGGCCTTGCATTTCTTCGTTGATCCCAGTTGCGCTGCCAGTCATAGCTCCGGTGCACGTATGTGGGAAGCTCAAGGCGCACTCACGCGCGCTTCTGCGCTTGCTCTTCGAGCTGTGTTTTGTTTGACGCTGTGCCAGCTACACGCGATGGAACACCCGGTTTGGGTTTTGCTTACAAAAATGGGTTTTGTGAGACAACGAATCGTGGGCACCGACCTGTTTTCAGGTTCGTTCCAAACCGCCCTTGGATTTTTTTTGCGCGGGGCCGCGTAAGGCGTGGCGTAAGTCGAGTTGCGGCCCTCGAGCCGTGGCCACCAGCCTCAAGCCGAACCCCCCCCAAACGGGGGGTGCAGGGGCAGGGCGCAGTGGCTATGGCTGCCAGCAGCTGGCTCAGGGTGTTCCTGTCACCTTCCCACTCAACAGACCTCGGTGCTCGGAAGGTGTCAGCAGTTCTGTGACATGGTGCGATCTTTCGGCTGCTCTTGTGCGAATCTATCACACCCTTCATTTGCACCGCATGGCATCTTTGCGTCATGTCGTTCATTTTTTTTTAAATCAGAGGATGCAGATCATGTTGTCGATTTTGTGTGTTTCTTCAACATTTATGTGCATGGCCTCGATACGTGGAAGCCCGTCTCAGCCGAGGGCCATTTCTTCCTTGTTTGTTTGGGCATTTCCAAGATTTCAAATTGCGTGCCCGGTTGCATGTAGAGCCATCTCAGATAGATTGCTATGAAGCCGAAGCAAAAACAAATCCATGCCCCAAAACTTCGTGTGCGGCGACTGCAGGTCGGCGGCCGCGATGGCAAGCACCCGCGCGGCCTGAACCTCAAACAATGGAGGGGGAAGTGAGGCGAGACATCCTGCATTCAAAGTCAATCCTTAATCCTCTTTCCAGCTGGTTGCGGTTTGCCTTGTGGTGGCCCACTGCAGGTTTCTATAGTCGGGAACAGGGACTTTACCCCCCCTCCCTGCCCTCCCACTGAACTCAGAGCCAGTTGGGTTTAAACTTAAACAGCTCGGTTGTGCAGGTGAAATTATGATTGGGTCTGCAGTCTCAAGCACCACAGTTTTGAGCCACAATCAAAACTTGGGTAGGTGAAGGATCCAGAGCACAGTCGACCATGAATGGACTCCGTTGGGACAGGGGATGGTCTTTCCAGAAGCATGATGGTGATTTTGATGGTGACCTCCCCAATGAAAAGAAAGGGTGCGTCCATGAGGGGCTCAGATGATGTCTGGCCTTTGCGCTTGAGGTGCTCCGCTGGAACCTGGCGCTTTCGGCGGCGGCGCGCCAGGCATGGGCCACTGCCAAAGTGGCCTTCGAACCCAAAGCCACATACGCGAGTGGATCAACACCAAGCCATTGCAATTACATGGGGTTACTATCTGTATTTGCAGTTTGGTTGGGTTTCCCAACACGGGTTTTCTTTTGGGAGGGGACGTCTCAACGTCGGTTGGCTCGAGGCCCAGTGGTGGAGGGCCCTGTCACTGCTGCGCGGCGTGCGGGAGAGTGAGCTGCAGCCAGAGACTCGCCTGCAGCTTTTGACGCAGGGGGTACCCTTTCTTGGATTGGGAAAAGGACAACTAGTGGCATGACAAGCTCCATATACTGTCCCCTAAAACGTTTTTTTTCTTCTTCTTTTTTAAATACATGAATATATTTACATACCAGCCAAAACACCGGGGTCCACCATGTTGAGAACCATTCTTGGGGTATTGTGATGTGGGTAAGATGAGGACCGTGATTCTTCAGTGAAGGGCCATATCTTTTCTCAGTGCCGAACTCAACTTTCATTTTCCCTTTTTTCCCGAAAGCATGGCGAAGGGTTCTTCCGCTGGGTTCACTTGAGTTGTTCTCATGAGAGTCATTACAAGGTGTCATTGCAAGGAATCATCATCATGAAAGTCAATGCAAGGAGTCATTGCAAGGAGTCATTGCAAGGAGTCATTGCAAGGAGTCATTGCAAGGAGTCATTGCAAGGAGTCATTGCAAGGAGTCATTGCAAGGAGTCATTGCAAGGAGTCATTGCAAGGAGTCATTGCAAGGAGTCATTGAGTCATTGCAAGGAGTCATTGCAAGGAGTCATTGCAAGGAGTCATTGCAAGGAGTCATTGCAAGGAGTCATTGCAAGGAGTCATTGCAAGGAGTCATTGCAAGGAGTCATTGCAAGGAGTCATTGCAAGGAGTCATTGCAAGGAGTCATTGCAAGGAGTCATTGCAAGGAGTCATTGCAAGGAGTCATTGCAAGGAGTCATTGCAAGGAGTCATGAGAGTCATTGCGAGCTGCGCGTGGAGTCAAGTGCAAGTTGCAAGTGCAAGGAGTCAAGTGCAAGTTGCAAGTGCAAGGAGTCAGGTGCAAGTTGCAAGTGCATGGAGTCAAGTGCAAGTTGCAAGTGTAAGGAGTCGAGTGCAAGTTGCAAGTGCAAGGAGTCAAGTGCAATTGACTTGCGAGGAGTTAAAATCTCTTCTTAGGGCGGCGGGGTAGTGCCGACGACACTACACGAAAATCGACCCTCTGCGGGGATCGGCGTGGTCGAGGTGCAAAAACTCATGTTTTTTTTGCGATTTCTAAAGTTCCCGCGCGACCCTCTGAGGGGATCGGCGTGGTCGAGGTGCAAAAACCCATGGTTTTTTGCGATTTCTGCGCTGCTCGCGCGACCCTCTGCGGGGATCGGCGTGGTCGAGGTGCAAAAACCCATGGTTTTTTTGCGATATCTGCGCTGCTCGCGCGACCCTCTGCGGGGATCGGCGTGGTCGAGGTGCAAAAACCGATGTTTTTTGCGATTTCCAAAGTTCCCGCGCGACCCTCTGCGGGGATCGGCGTGGTCGAGGTGCAAAAACCGATGGTTTTTTGCGATTTCTAACATGCTCGCGCGACCCTCTGCGGGGATCGGCGTGGTCGAGGTGCAAAAACTCGAGTTTTTTTTTTCGATTTCTGCGGGGCTCGCGCAACCCTCTGCGGGGATCGGCGTGGTCGAGGTGCAAAAACCCATGGTTTTTTGCGATTTCTGCGGTGCCCGCGCAACCCTCTGCGGGGATCGGCGTGGTCGAGGTGCAAAAACTCGAGGTTTTTTGCGACTTTGGTTGTTCGAACTGGTCCACGGGAGTTGTCTCGTGGTTCGCGCGCCTGCTCCCGGGCCGGCCGGTTGCGGGTTCGATTCCTCCCTGGTCCGCGGGCGGGCGTCGCAAGACGCAACTTGCATTTTAAAGCAACTTGCGCAGACCAACTTGCACCGACCAGTTTGCGCAGAGCGCCTTGCCTAGAGCAACTTGCGCAGAGCAACTTACGCAGAGCAACTTGCACAGAGCAACTTGCACAGAGCAGCTTGCACAGAGCAACTTGCAGGGAGCGCAATTTGCACAGAGCAACTTGCAGGGAGCCGCTTGCAGGGACCAACTTGCCGGAGCAACTTGCGCGGAGCAACTTGCGCAGAGCAACTTGCACAGTGCAACTTGCGTAGAGCAACTTGCGCAGACCAACTTGCGCCGACCAGTTTGCGCAGAGCACCTTGCCTGGTGCTGTCTCGCGCCAACTTGCACATATTGCAGCTCGCACAGAGCAACGTGCAGGGAGCCACTTGCAGGGACCAACTTGCCGGAGCAACTTGCGCGGAGCAACTTGCGCAGAGCAACTTGCACAGTGCAACTTGCGTAGAGCAACTTGCGCAGACCAACTTGCACCGACCAGTTTGCGCAGAGCACCTTGCCTGGTGCTGTCTCGCGCCAACTTGCACACACTGCAATTCGCGCAGAGCAACTTGCGCAAAGCAACTTGCGCAGAGCAACTTGCGCATGTGCCAGGCCGGGGTTAAACAAGTTTGCCGCACATCGTGGGGAGTTATGCTTTCAGGCCACTCACCCTGTAGGAGTTTGACGCAAGGAGTTCTCATCATGAAAGAAGTTGCGGGGAGCATGGCGCACACGGCTTATTTACGGGCATGGCGCACACGGCTGGTTGTTATGTGGCACCTTGCGGATGATCATCGAGATTTGGCTCAAACAGAAGTCATGGAGCTCGAAGTAGCTAGGCTTCAGGCTGGCGCGGCCCAGCATGGCAAAGCGTGGCTGCAGCAAGAGATGGCGGCCAAAGCCCAACCCCAACTTCGCGCACTCGCCCGACGGCTGGATGTGCGCCAATGGGTCGCAGGCAGCAACGTGACCAAGGCAGACCTAGCTGCCGCTGTCGTGGAGAAGCTGTGCCCACAGGCCAGGCCACAGGCCAGGATCGAAATCTGGAGAGTTTTGCTGGTGTTTGTTTTGCTGTGCTGATTGTTGCCAGGAGAGCAGCTTGCGCAGAGCAGCTTGCGCAGAGCAACTTGCAGAGCAACTTCCGCAGCGTAACTCGCGCAGAGCAACTTGCACGGAGCACTTTGCGCAACTTGCGCAGAGCAAGTTGCACAAAGCACTTGTGCAGAGCAACTTGCGCGCAGGGCACGTGCCCAAGCAGCTGTTGCGTGCATATGTGCGTGCATGCGTGCGCGCGGTTGCATTTTTCTGTTGGTTTGTGTGTGTGTGTGTGTGTGCGTGTGTATGTGTGTGCGTTTGTGATTGCGCTTCCTGCGGGTCTGTGCGTGCGTGCGTGAATGAGGAGCGAACTGTAACACTTGTTTTTTTTGGCAAATCATGTTCTTTTTTCTGGCAAATGGGTGTGGGTGCGAGGACGGGTGCTGATGGCCAACATGGTCCAGCTGGTGGCACGAGCTCTGGTTCCTCGCAGTTTCCTCAACCTCCACGCGGAAGCCAAGGGCAGTCTGCGACTGCGCGCAGCACAGACGGATTGCGATCTCCTTGTGATCGGCAGCCACACTGCGCGAACTGGCGCCGTCACGAGAATGATTCGAAGCTCGGCTTGGAGAAGAAGCTGCAGTACCTCTTTCTCTACGCAGCGGAAGCCCGAAGTCTGACTTGCATGCGGCACTACGTAGAAGTAGCACACGTAGTCCTCGGGAGTTGTCTCCTTTTTTTTTGCGTGCTTTTTGCTTGCGAATTTGTCTTTGGCAATTGTCTCGTGGTTTGCGCGGCTGCTCTCCGATGTCGCGCGGTCGCGGGTGCGATCCCCGCCTGGTCCGCGGCAGCTCTGGCTGCACGCAGTTCCAGCTGAAAGTCGCAAATTTTAAGTGCAAAAGTAGTACGCGGAGTACATTCCCGCACCTCCAGCTCCAAAATCACAAGAGTAGTACGCGGAGAACATTCCTGCAGCTCCAGCTGCAAAACTTGCGCCGAGCAACTTGCGCCGAGCAACTTGCGCAGAGCAGCTTGCGCAGAGCAACTTGCAGAGCAACTTCCGCAGCGTAACTCGCGCAGAGCAACTTGCACAGAGCAACTTGCACGGAGCACTTTGCGCAACTTGCGCAGAGCAAGTTGCACAAAGCACTTGTGCAGAGCAACTTGCGCGCAGGGCACGTGCCCAAGCAGCTGTTGCGTGCATATGTGCGTGCATGCGTGCGCGCGGTTGCATTTTTCTGTTGGTTTGTGTGTGTGTGTGTGTGTGTGCGTGTGTATGTGTGTGCGTTTGTGTTTGCGCTTCCTGCGGGTCTGTGCGTGCGTGCGTGAATGAGGAGCGAACTGTAATACTTGTTTTTTTGTCTGGCAAATCATGTTCTTTTTTCTGGCAAATGGGTGTGGGTGCGAGGACAGGTGCTGATGGCCAACATGGTCCAGCTGGTGGCACGAGCTCTGGTTCCTCGCAGTTTCCTCAACCTCCACGCGGAAGCCAAGGGCAGTCTGCGACTGCGCGCAGCACAGACGGATTGCGATCTCCTTGTGATCGGCAGCCACACTGCGCGAACTGGCGCCGTCACGAGAATGATTCGAAGCTCGGCTTGGAGAAGAAGCTGCAGTACCTCTTTCTCTACGCAGCGGAAGCCCGAAGTCTGACTTGCATGAGGCACTACGTAGAAGTAGCACACGTAGACCCCGGATGTAGGTCGTGCCAAAAAACGGCACGTGACTGGGCTGCGAAGACTAACAAGGTTTTGCCGCCCGACGTGGAGGGTTTCTTCCAGAGCCACGGGCTGTAGAGTTTTTGCTGCAGGAGGCAGTTGGATTTGACGCGGACTGTGCGGACAACCTCGCTTGCGATGTTCTGCTTTCGGGCCAACCGTGGTCTAGTATTTGGATGGTTTAAGCATCACCTTTTGGTTGCCCATTGTGACTGAACTTTTCCTTTTGGAGTGATGTTGTTCCTGTCTGTGGCGGCTGTGAAAGTTGGAGTTGAGTGTTGTTCTTTGGCGTTTGAATCTTGGGGTGACTTGAGCAGGGATCGAGCCAAGCCCCGATTGCCGGCTGCTTCACACGTTGCCTCCCTCTCCTTGTGATTATACGTGTCATGTACCTGGGATATTTTCTGCACGCACTTTTGGATGTGCGTGCCGTGGTAGTAAGAACTTCCCCGTTTCAGATGTTACCGGTGGAGTATTGGTTCACAGCAGTACTTTCGCGACTTGCCTCTTCTTCCTCGGGCCGTGGACACTCGTCCTGAGACCGGCCCAGATGCTTCTAAGCAAGCAACGTAAAACCAAGTTGTTATTTTGTGTAGTTCGAATGCGTGAGTTCAGTCTGTCATCAGCTTGCGGAAGTGCTCATCCTTGGCATTTGATCCGAGTTCCGTGTCCTCGCACCTTTCGGGGCCAGGACCTGGTGACGCTGAACACGGCGGTGCGCGCGTGCACCAGGGGCAGCCGCTGGCAGAGGGCTCTCCAGCTGCTGAAGGAGACGGAGGCGTTGCAGCTGCAGCCGGACCAGGCGGGGCGGAGGGTGAGAGGGTGTTGGAGGCTTGGTGCGACATCGTTGCCAGTCTACGCAGTGAGGCAGATGTTTACAAACTCGGCGATTTGAGACCTGTGCGAGCAAGCGTGCCCCACTCGAACCCGACCTCAAACCCACCCTCCTAAACTTGGTTGGACCCCTTGCAGCCCAGAAGCTTCAGCTTGCATTCCTCTTCAAACCCGGATGTCGTCCTTTTCGACTCGCAAAACCGTGAGTCAGACTTGGTGGGAGGGTAATTAGACATGTTGTTGTTCCTGGATTTCTTCAGGATGTGCGAACCAGAAGGACCCCGCAAACGGTAGTTCCTCATATAAACCAATGCTTCAAAGGGCGCCCAAGTCGCCGAGCCTCAAACCATGAGATGAGGTGAGCTTCACGTCTTTGCTGGGCTTCCAGTCGGATGCCGGCGCCTGGCTGCGCGCGTTGGCCGTGCTCCACGCCCTGGAGGCGGCGCTGGGAACCGCCGACGGCCACGCGCTGAACGCGGCGCTCAACGCGTGCGCCGGCTCCGGGCACTGGGCGGCAGCGCTGGCGCTGCTGCTGCGGCTCAAAGGCGCGCGCATCGGACAGACTTGGGGAAGTGGGGAACTTGGAGGGAGGAAACGCCTGGTTGGTTTGTTTCGGGGTTTCCTATTCAGAGTCACACCTTCACGTATGGGTTACAAAATGCACCCGGTGGTCTACTCTTGGTTTTAGAAGGACCTGGGGTCACAACCCAAGTTTCCCAGAACTTGCAGGTGGACAGGGCTCACTCGGGTTTGTCCTCGTTGGAGGGTGCGTGTTTCGGGGTTGGCCAAAAAGGGAAGTCGCAAGGGAACCCAATGTTGGGGGTTCTTTCGAGATAAACCCTGCGGAGCGGAGGAGGCCACACTGACCTGCCACTTGAAGCCGAGAAAGCCTGCACTTTTCGAGAGCGAAGTTGGGTGTGTCTTGTTTTGAGGCTCGGCACTCTTTTTGGGTTAGGAAAACCTATGGAAACGGTTTGGGGACCCCAAACCAATGGGAATGGTTTGGGGACCCCCCAAGTTTTGAGACACACCCATAATTACTCACACAAATGAAGGTGCTGTGTTAATCTGCGGGGTAGTAATGTGGCGACACGCAGGGATGGTCATGGATCCCAAAATGATTTTGGACGAGCAATACAAGGGTTTGGAGGGGTTGTGTGTTTCTTTGAGGCACGGCACCCTTTTCAGGCTGGTTTCAAGGGAGACCAAAAAGGAATCGGGGGTCCAGATCCCGGCTTTGGCAAGTGCCCACAACTGCTGTGGGTGAGGTGAGTCCTTTGCCAGGCAAGGCCAGGGCGGTGGGGCTGAGCACCGCCATGGCCGCGGCAGTCAAGGTGCAGCGCTGGGACGTGGCGCTGCGGCTGCTGCCCACGGAGGAGCCGTGCTTCCTTTGCTTCCTTTGCTTCCTTTGCTTCCTTTGCTTCCTTTGCTTCCTTTGCTTCCTTTGCTTCCTTTTCCCCGTCCCTTGTACTTGGAGGTGAAGCCCTGAAGCATGGGCTCAGCTGGAGAGGGGATGCCTTGAACATCAAGCCGTTTTTCAGGTCTTCAGGGGCGACCTTTTCCTTTTGGCAGTCTGGGAGCCAGTGCGTCAAACATCATCTTTTGGGAAAGGCCATTTTGGGATGTGCTGCTGTTTCAGTGGGGTGATGTTTAAAAATGGGACCTAGCTTACTTTCTTGGCAGCTATTGTGCATCATGGTTATTAGACAGATTCTGGTCATTCGACATGGCAGCATTAGTCAACATGGGGCTCATCATGACCAAGCAAAACAAAAAAGAACAGAACAAGGTTATTCAGATTTGCCCTGTAGGCCAAAGACTGTGCTTCCTTGTTCATGAGTGATGCAACGACTTCCATGCTTCTGCTTGGGTGCACCTATGTTTTTTTGTTGCTTGGCAGGTGGGGAAAGAAGGGCCATTCGGTTCGCAACCACAATCACAACCAAAACCCAAGCCACAACAGAATAACCACACTCACAACGCCGCACCATACGAAACTCAACTCAACACACAAGACAACACGGCGAGCCGCACCGCATCAACGCGACGCAGCATACTGCAACACAACACAGCAAAGCAAAGCAATTTCTTTTCTCGATTTGCGCACGCCATTTTTTCGCATCGGGCCATGCGCATCTCCTTTGTTAAGTCAAGCAACAAGCGACAATCAACAACACACGCAGCAAGAAGTGACGCACAAACACATGCCTTGAGGAGTGGGGGCAGATGGACGGGGTGCTTCTGGCAACCTGCCTGCGGGTGTGCAGGGCTGGACATGTGTGGCACTTGGGGCTGAGGCTGGGGGAGTGCAACCTACTGTAAACAGATACCCTCGAACATGTTTGCAATGTTAGCTCTTCAAAGTCTGGATTGTCCCAAAAAGCTAAGTTGGGAGGGACGTTTATCCTCGTTCTCAAAACATGCTTGGTGTTGGTTTTGCCCCCTCATCCACTAACGTAGAATCTGACCGGAGGCCCCGAGAACATTTTCCTGCCTTGTCTTTGAAAGTAGTCTTTCCGCGCTAACCAGCAAGCAATTATTCCTGTTCCCCCCTCCCCCCACCGGTTGGCTTCGATACTGGTTGGAGAGAGTACATGAAAATATGGCAACATGGATAGAACCTGAATGAAGCAAATCAACCGAAATGCACCACCTTTTTACAAGACCATCCAGCCTGGGTTATTGACCAAGAGTTGATTGAGGGGCGGGGTTGGGTGGTTGGGGCTGGATGATTTCGTGACCCATGGTCCGGCTACCGAGGTGGTCATGCCACATCGCACAACAACACATGCCCTTGAGGCTGCTCCAAGGTGCAGCCCGTGCTGATGCAGCAGTGTTCAACTCGGCTATTAGTATGTGCGGCGACGCGGCGCAGTGGCAGATCGCGTTGAACCTCTTGGGTGGAGCCCGGAAGCGTGGCATCATGGACACCATAGGCCGGAGTTGGAGTTTTCGTGGGCCAGTCCAGTTTTTTCTGTGAGATGACAAGGCTTAGATGCAGAAGCCAGTCGCTCAGTCCAGTTTCGCAATGGCTCAGTTGCCCGATCCAGGCTGCAACGCAGCGATGACTGCCTGTGACAAAGGCCTGGCTTGGCCGCAAGCGCTGCTGGTCTTTGGCATGGCGCAGCGAAGAGACGCAATTAGTTTCATGGCAAATTGGCGTACCTCACACTTTGCCTGGTTGGCTGCAGCCATTCAAATTACAACTCAGTTTTGCACTTTTGCACTTGATCATGCTTGCCAGGCTCTCGCTCCCCCCCGCCCCCACCACCAACAATGTGCCGCCAACAATGCGACGCCCAACTCATGGTATGAGCTCGCATGCTTGGCTCACCGTGAGGCTACTTTGGAGCTATTGAGCTCACCGGGGTGCTTGGAATGCAACATCTGTAAGCATACCAGGCTCACGAAGATAGATCGAACGATCACAATCTTCTTGACAGCATCCGAATATCTCAACATCGGGCATCCCAAAATGGTTGGTGCCCTTTTGGTTCGACGACCACCAAAAGGAGTACGAAACCAAAAAGGCACACGTGACAATCTAGACTTCGCCCAAATCACTCCTCCCACGGTGTCCTGGTCCAGTGTATCACACCCTGGCCCAAACATAAACTTCGTGTTCTGCTTTTTTTGTTTTTTGTAATTTCTCACACAAGTCCCAACACACAGGCTAGTTTTTACAGAGATTGCAATCCCAAGTATGCTGTCCTAGCAACAAGCATGGCCTTCATTGTGGCATCTCGGAAAGCCCGAGGCTACGGTGCCGCGCTGTCCGCCTGTGCTGCCGCGCAGCAGTGGGTCCACGCCGTGGCGCTGCTGCGCCACGGCCTGCGGCGAAACCTCTGCCTCAGCGGCTCGTAGGGAGGGGGGGTGGCCTCGAAAAGCAAAGAGATTCCACGAATGGAATAGGGAGGGTCTTTTTGAGGCCATGCCAATTTGAAGAGTATGTGCCGAACCCTGGCCTCCTTGGCGAACCCATTGCCAATTTGTTTTATAGAGGTTTAAACATGATTGGCCTCACCCTTGTGGGATGGGAAGGAGGAATCCGAAGTCTCGCAGATGGCAGATGCACACCAAACTGCAACCACAGAATGAGTCGAGCACTATCTAAAATTATTTACTGCGCTTTATGATTACACATATCTTAAATATTTCTTCCCCTTACCGAACGACTTGAGCCAGTCACGTGCCCTGAGGCGAGCAAGCATGGAGTGCCCTACTCACCGCCTGCGGGACACAATGGGAGTTGGCGCTTGCCTTGGCTGACGAAGGAGCGTACCTGCACCATCGCTTTGATTGCAATGGCATGCATCTCTTGCAAGAATCAAGAGATTACGCATGCACCACGTTTTGCTTCTGTGCTTTGTCCTCAACTGTTTTTTCTCGCTTGTTCTCCTTCCCTACCTTCGACTTCCAAGTTTCGTTTTTTGCCTCATTCTGGTTTTCTTCACATTTGCCCCTCCCTTTTTGGGTGCAGGACCTCACAAGGACCAGCCTTTCACCCCCGCAAACCCCGGCTGCTCTTTTCATACACTGATTCAGAAGGGGAGCCATTGCAGCCTAGTGACCAGTGACTTACGGTGACAACGAAGGAACATTCCGGTCCACAACTTGGCTCAGCTTGTGGCTCGTAGTTGTTTTTTCCCGCGCGCAGGACGTGGGCCGAGATGGGACCTGACGTGCCACAACTCCCTGCTCCAAGTCCTGGCGCGAGGCGGCGCCCAGTGGCGTCACGTACTCCGCCTGCTCAGCGCCATCTCCCAAGGTGCCAGGGAAGGGGGGTGGGAGGGGCGGTTTGTTTTTTGGTGATGGTACCTTTGGCCAGTGTTCAAGGAGAACCAAAGGGAAAGCCAGCGATGCCAGCGTTGGTGTTGGCACCCTTTTGTCGCGGTTGCGTTGCCGTTTTGTTTTTTGGAGCAGCTCTTCGTGGTCTTTTGTTTTGACTTTACCTGTTTGGGGTTTTGAAGGGAGACCAAAGCGATACCACGAAACCACCGTTCAGAGATGCGCATAAAAGCCATAAGCGAGGGAGGGGGCAGCAACGGCGAACTGTGCACTGGCCTATCCTCCTCACTGGATTGCCTCAAGGGAAAGAGGAGCCTTGGGATGGAAGCGGCTTAGCGGCTTTCCTTGCCCGTTTGGCAACGCGAGGGACCTTTGATTGTTTGGTGCCTGTCAGCCAGCTTCGTCATGAGGCCCAGTTAATATGGTCTGAGCCTAGGAAGAAGACATCTTCCTATGAGCGAAAGGTGCGGACATGGATGAGTGTTCTGGAATACCCTTATATGCAAGATAAGGCGGCACTACATATACGGATAAAGATCACCAACTGTGTGTGGCCAGGAGGTTGTCTTAAGTTTGCTTTCATCAACATGAAGTGAGGGACATAGTCAGAGTGGACTGGGTGCAGAAACAACGCAATGGACGGAGATGGACTCTGCCATGGCTTGCGCTCACGGAAATTATCCCGGCCTTCGGAGTTAGCCCGCCGCTCCATCGATGGCCGGAAGCCAAACAACGGGCCGCATGGGCTTCGGTTCCGCGTGGTCTGCAGGTCGGGGCCGGAACGGAACCTTTGGGCACTTTGGAAATTGGAGACGTGTCCGTCGAGGCAGGCAGTGCAGAAAGCTTTGGAACATGGCCAAGCTGTGCCTGCAGGCCGGATCTTGACAATTTTGGCTGAGAAGCGTGCGGATTTGATGTTCCAAGCACTGGAAGTGCTCACAGAAGACGGACGGAGAAGCCCGGATATCCGCAACCACACCGTGGCGATCTCGGCATGTGGCCGACGTGCTTTGTGGCAGAATGCTTGCATGCTGCTGGCTATCCTGCCACATGTAAGGCTTCAGCCAGATGTCATCAGTTTCAGTGCGACCATCAGCGCTTGCGAGAAAGGCGGGCAGTGGCAGATGGCTTTGGACCTGTTTCAGTCCATGCTTGACGCAAGCGAGCAGCCAGACGCCTTGAGCTTCAATGCCACCATCAGTGCTTGCGAGAAATGTGCGGAGTGGCAGCAGGCTTTGAGCCTATTCTGGTCCATGAGCGAGGCCAAAGTGCGGTCAGACGTGATCAGTTTCAATGCAGCCATGAGCGCATGTGCAAGGGGACAAGAGTGGCAAGCTGCCTTAGACCTGTTCGCAGGCATGACTGAAATCGCAGTTCATCCCAGTGCTGTCAGCTTCAACGCAGCCATCAGCTCATGTGAGAAAGGAGGGCAATGGCAGAAGGCGCTGATTTTGTTTTTGGCAATGCCTCGGACCAATATTGAGCCCAGCCAAATCAGCTTCAACTCAGCCATCAGCGCATGTGAAAAAGGTGGGCAGTGGCTGGAGGCCTTGTGGCTGTTTGGGTTGATGCCCATGGCAAGGGTCAACCCAGACAAAATCAGCTTCAACGCAAGCATAAGTGCCTGCGAAAAGAGCGGCCTGTGGCAGGAGGCTTTGAGCCTGCTCGGTGTGATGCCTGTGGTCCAGGTCAGCCCCAATCACATTAGCTTTAATGCAAGTATAAGTGCTTGCGAAAAGGGCGGGCAGTGGCAGATGGCTTTGGACCTGTTTCAGTCCATGCTTGACGCAAGCGAGCAGCCAGACGCCTTGAGCTTCAATGCCACCATCAGTGCTTGCGAGAAATGTGCGGAGTGGCAGCAGGCTTTGAGCCTATTCTGGTCCATGAGCGAGGCCAAAGTGCGGTCAGACATGATCAGTTTCAATGCAGCCATGAGCGCCTTCAACAAGGGTGGCGAGTGGCCATGGGCTTTGGGCTTGTTCGGAGGGATGCCTGAAGCAAAGGTTGATTGCAGCGAGGTCAGCTTCAACGCGGCCATCAGCGCATGTGATAAAGGCAGGCAGTGGCGAAGATGTCTAGAGCTAATGCAGACAATGCTTCGACAACATTTCCGACCCAACCGAATCTGTTTCAACGCCGCTGTCAGTGCCCGGGAAAGATGTGGACAGTTGTAGATTGTTTGCCTTGAAACTGATGTTTGACTCATGTTGCTGCAGTGCACTCAGCGACTGCACGGGCGGTGCAAAACTGGATGAGCTTGCAGACTTGCCCGAGTATTTGGACTAACGCTGCGCATTGCTTCGTACCAGAAGCTATTTTGGCAGCGATTCGATTGGCAAATGGCGGCAAGATTGCGATGAGATGGAGATCACAGCATTGCGGGATTCCAACTTAAGGTATCCTTAGGCGAAACGCCTTGGCCTTGCGCCTTAGACGCGGCGGCATGGATCAGTTTCAACATATCCAGGCGCTCACTGATGGACAGGGCAAGCCGGGTACGAGCACATGCTCGTGGGCGGGATGACGGCAGCTTTGGCGCTACCTCAAAGTTGTATATAAGGTCTCGTTCATGCACCCCAAGATCGGCCAATTAAATCGAGATGCCGTCTGTGGAGTTCCAACCAAATTGGTTGTTCAAACAAGGATCCTGAGTGAAAATGTGGGTCATTGTCCTCAACTCAAAGGCAGCTCCCCCAGGAAGGCTCCTCAGTGGATTGGGCGGGAGTTCCCCAATTACTGGATGTCCCATAGCTAAAGAAAACCAATGGATATATTTTACGATTTTTGCTTCTTCCAGACGCACCAGTTGGCACCCATTTTAAGGATACGCGCAACAGACACCACTTGCCGACCTTCCCATCTCCCCTTTCCGGAGGTGAGAGGCAAATTCTGCGGCCCAACGCGGTCACCTGGGATGCGGCTTATGTGGCCTGTGAGGCTGATGGGTACTTCGACTAGGGCTGTCACAACGAACTGGTCCATTCAATTGACCGCTTTTGGCAGTTATCAAACATTATGTCAACCTGTTGAAGGGTCATGTTTGACGACGTGACTTTACTGGGCCCTGTCAATGGAAACTCGGGCCCTTGCCCTTGAACCCGCCAATGATGCGGAGTGACTTTGAGAGCGGGATATCGTGCGGGTTAAACACTTGGAACTAGTTCCAGGTGTCCCTCAAATGGAGAACAAAGAAGGACTCAAGTTGCTAAGACTTCAGCGGGGGTACACCGGGGTTGGGTTCAAACCCATCATGAACCAACTTGCCAATTTGGACACGTGGAATTGTAACCTGCAAATCCCACAGTGACTCACCTCACTCAGATCCAACAGGGTGGCTGTCTAAACCGTTTGCCTTTGAATGGAAGCTGTCTGGAAAAATCACTCCAGTTTCCTGGTGAGAGGAGCATGGGGGGATGCCTTTGAGCAATCAAATGCAGAGCGCAGTGGGCAAAGGGGCCTCTTAAATCTTGTTGAGAGCAGATCGAATAGTTTGACGCTGCTTGCTGATGTTCTAATTAGTATTGCCTGCGCGTGTTTGCAATCTGTTTGTTTGTGGGAGCGACCAAAGCTTCCATTATCAAGAATAAGGACAACCACTTTCTACAGTAGACGCCCCCTTTACAAAAGCGGATCGAACATGTATGTATGCATGAGTGTGTGGCGTGTTGCATGCATGTGCAGATGGTTCTCTTAGTTGCTCGCTCGACCACATCCGTTGCCAAGTTCAGCGAGCAACACGGATTCGCCCTGGAGGTTCAAGTGTCAAGGCGCCACCATTGGGGGGCTAGGGGGAAGCAGCCGATGCTTTTTCCTGCCGTTACGAATATACACAGCTCATGCAGGTTCCTCCTTTGATGTACTCGTGGGTCCATCCCAAATTCCGACATCAAAAGATCTGCGCTATGCTTTGGACTCCACTCATTTCTGGGTCCTGCATGGAGTTTGGGGAAGGGCTATCTCTCTTTGCACTCTTGCAGGCGGCCGGGCATTTGCCTCCGCTGCCCCGGCTACAAAAGCGTCTTTGCAGATTTACAGCAACTCGGCGGAAGCGTCAGAAGCCGTGGAAGGGAGCATGAGAATGGTCTGCTTTTCCAAGAGATGTGAGACCCGAGTGAAGCTCCTTTGCACAGGTTGCGTTCGCTTCTTGTCAAGGACAAATGCTGGTTGACCGGCTGAACTTGTGCCTATCGGGGATGCAGCATTGCTTGCCATTCGGCCGTGTATTGCTTTGTTCTTCTGTCAAATTTTGTTTCCTTGCAGACTTGCCTCATTCCCAATCCTAAAAGAGATTCACTCCCAAAATGAACAGCAGTTTTTTTTCGGAAGTTCCTTGCCTGGGGCTTTGCTGAGCTTCCACGGGCGGGGCGCTCAGCCCTTTTGAGGGTTGGCGGGTCGGCTCTGTATTGGAGGCCTGTGAGGCGTCCACTTCCCGACTGCCCATGTGTTTCTGGAGGCTCCGTTTTGGATGCCATGTCCCACGAAAGAGCATTCCGTCAGGCTCGTTTGGGTCGGCTGGGAGGTTCGGAGCTCGACCTAAAGGTTCGGCTGTAGCCCCTGAGGAGCAGTTCCGAGGTGACGAGCTGGAAGGCGAAGATGCTGCAAGAGTCTGTGAAAAAGGGGTACCTTTTGCCTTGAAAGGGAAGCCCCAAAGGAGCAGCCGAACACTTGGGTCCCTAGTTCTGAGAAATATCTTTGATCCTCAAGGTACCTGCAGTAGGCGGTTGGATGGCAGGCAAATCCAACGGCATGAGGTAGTTGTGTCTTCAATACAAAAGCTGAAGCTACGCGCTGCCCAAGAGCTGAAGCACGGCTCGAAGTTTGCCACTCGGCTCGCGATCTCTTTCCGCCAGGCGCCAAGTGGCCGCTGCAGGCGGGTCTCGGCTTGGCCCTTTGGGCTCGTGGCCGGCTGCAAAGGCGCCCGGATTCAAATGAGCCTTGGGGCCCGGGTTTTTTTAGCGAAGGGTCCAGTCAATTGCAAGGTATCAAAGCAAGGGACGATCGGAGCCTGACCATGAGCTGTTTGGTATGTGCAGCTTGCCTCCCTCGCTACATGTCCTTTTGGCCATGTTCTGTCACGCGCTTGAAGATCATGCCTCATCTTTGACTCCAGAATCTCAATTTGTTGCCACAATCATCAGCGATTGGACGGGTGTGATCATTCTGCGTTATGCCATCCTGGAGTCGGCACTTGTCACGCAATGTCACGCAAGCATGTCAGCGCTGAGCGGAGCTTGATGGCTGATGCTCCTACTCGGAGCTGGGCATGTTCTGGGATTTGCCGAGGTTTGGGATGGCCACAGATGTCTGGTCAAAAAGCTGCGCGAGGCTTGACAGCTTGAGCCAAGCGGATATGTATTTTTGTTGAGGGACCCTTTTCAGCTTGGTTTGAAAGGAAGCAACATGTTAAAAACGAACGCCGGACAACCACCATTTTCGTTTTCCCCTATTTTGACACATACCTGTATAAGTGCGTTTCTTGCGCTTTGGACCATGGCCAGTTCGCCGTTCTTTTGAGCCTCAGCTTTGTTTCTGCTAACGATTGTACGCTGCATTTCTAGTCTCCAGTTTCTCAGCCGACATGTCTTTTCCACCGAGCCCACAATGGTCATGGCTCGTCCGAGCGCATGGCCATGAACCAATGCTGCGTCGTCCAGGCGCTGCGGGAGGGGTGAGGGTCCAGTGCAGTTCGTTTGCTGTACGCCATTGGAAGTTGGATCAAGAATCGGTTCTGAGCTTGCACAGGATCTTTCTTCAACACCTGACACCTTTTGGCCCGGTCGTGCCCCGTCGGCTATACCGAGCCTTGCGTTACACAGTTTTAAACAGACGACGGGGCCCGACCAAGACCCGACGGTGGAATCGAAGCCGGTCGGGGCCCGACGGCGCCATCGAGGCCCGATCAGGGCCCGACGATGGAATTGGGCCCCGACCGGCTCGCGGAACGCTTGTGGCACCCTGTCAAAACCTGTGGAACGTACCTCAGAACCGCTCCGGACCACCCCATAGCCTTCGCAGAACCTCGTGGACCCTCGCGGAACCTTTGTGGAACTCTGTGGAACTCCGTGGAACCTTACTTGAGAGCCGCCTCGGACCACTGCATAGCCCTCGCAGAACCTCGCAGAACCCTTGTAGCACCCTGCGGAACCCACTTCAGGGCTGCCCCAGATCACCCCGTAGCCCTCGCGGAACCTCGTGAAACCCTCGTGGAACCCGGGTGGAATGCTGGCGCCCCGGAGCCCATCTGGGCTGCGGTGCAATCGGGCGCAGGGCGGGGAGGGCCAAACTGTCAATCCAACCCATAAATCATAGCGTGCCGCTGGTTTTGATTCCACAACAGTGTTGAAGTGTTTTTGGTGAGGGACTCACAATGCTGAGGCAAACTCACACAAAAAGACAATAGGAAAACCAAGCAGTTAGGCCCCTGATTGAATTTGTTGGTGAGGCTTGGGCTGTTTTTCACCAACAGCTGCAAGCGATGGGGTCTCTGCCCAGATAGGCTGCGGGGTGGTCTGGGGCGGCTCTGAGCCAAGGTTCCGCAGGGTTCCGCGAGAATTCTGCGAGAGTTCTGCAAAAAAGCTCCACGGGGGTCCGGCTCCGCCAGGGTTTTGGGAGGGTGCTGGGAGGGCGTGGTGCTGTTTCGCCTGAGCTTATGTTTTGAGATGGTTCACTTTTCAAGTGGTTCGGATCGGTTTTAGGACTATGAGCCTCAAAAAGTATCCACTTCTCCACTTCCCTGATACTCGCCGCTGAAGATGCACTTTGCAACCCGTATTTGCCCAAGCTTATCGGGACCGATTTCGGGTCCTTTAAGTCCTTTGGTCCAGCGCGATTTGGTGTGTGTGTGTGTGTGTGTGTGTGTGTGTGTGTGTGTGTGTGTGTGTCTGTGAGTGTCTGTGTGTGTCTGTGTGTGTCTGTGTGTGTGCGTGTGTTCTTTTTGGTGTGTGTTAGCCGCGCATTCACAGGGCAACGCAGGGAATCTATTGCACAAGGGAGTACGGCTCTGCAGGAATCAGTTGCTAAACTTGAGCTTCGTTGGCAAGGTGCCTGGATTTGGCACATCGGCAGCCCGTTGGACACAGCTCAGCCTCCAGCTGAAGCTGGGGGGGACACCCGACAACCCAAAAAGTTAGGTGGTTTTCCTTTAGCTTCCCGTCGAAGCAATCCAGAATCCCCAAGAGAAAGAGGTACCATCAAAAACACACGGGTGTGTTTGTTGGTGTGCCCCCCTTCTTGCGGAGTCCTTCCATGACTGAGGCAAAGCGAAAGTAGAGACCGCTAGCCCGTGGTGACTTGCCAAGTAGATTCGTGGCTTGCGATTCGGGGATTTCAAAGGGAACTCCCAAGCAAATCATCTCTTCTCCCATATGGGTTGCCGCACTGCATCTCTTCTCCCTAAATTCGGTGCTCGCTCCATCGGGCCAGGCTATGGCCAAGCAGAACCTCCGGCTCTCGGAGTGGAAGGCTCGTAGCTCACCGTTTATCAACCTTTTCGTCCTTAGCGCAACGCATTCAACGCATGCTGCCAGACTTAGCGAGCTTGCTTGCCGTTGGTTTTCCGAAATGTTCCCTTCCAACGGGCAAACTGTCTGGGGTCGGTTCGGTCTGCCCAGCAAACGGCCCATGTCTGGTCGCAGAAAAGCACTCTGCACACCGCCACGTTCTTGTTGTCTGCCCTTTTATTTCCCAGATAGCTGAAAGCTATAGGGGTTCTATCTTCTAATAAAGAGAGGAGAAAGTGATTTGCGAGATTGATGGGCTGGTGCTAGGGGGCGTGCAGTGTGGGGTGCTGGTGTAGGTGCTGTTTTGGGGGGTGACGGTGCGCTCGTATTTTTGCATGTTTGCATCTTGACGGTAGGACGCAGGAGGGAATGCAGTTTGGTTTGCTGGTGCTGATGGTGCCGTGGGGAGCTGTTTGAGGTGATGGTGACGGCGCGGGCGCATTTTTGCGATATTGACGCGCGGGTGCTATCAGGCATGCAGGTGACGGTGCAGGCGCATGTTTGCATCTTGACGGTCGGGTGCAAGGGGGGCATGCAGCTTAGGTGGTGGTTTGGGACTCTGTTTGGGGTGCTGGTTGATTTTCGCAAGATTGACGGCCGGCTGTCTTGGGGGGTGCTGTTTGGGGTGCTCTTCAGGGTGATGGTGCGGGCGCATCTTTGCTCCATTGACGGCCGGGTTTTGCTTGGGGCGTTCTTCGGGGGGGTGCTTTTGGAGGTGCTGGTGTGCAAGCACTGCTATCTGGGGTCTATGCTGGTGTATTTTGTTCATTTGATAATTATCGTTGGAGCGCGGGACTTTGTAGGTCAAGTAGGTTCGAGGAGTTTCAGAGTTTGGACCACCCCAACATTTGTCCCTAGATTATAGAGGTTCTAACTTCAAACAAAGAGGGGAAAGTAATTTGCGAGATTGACGGCTGGGTGCTGGGGGGCGTGCAGTTGGGGGTGCTGGTGCAGATGCAGTTTGTGGCGCTAGTGATGGTGTGCGCGCGTTTCTGCAAGATTGACGGCAGGGTGCTAGGGTGGCGCATTTTTGCGAGATAGACGGCCGGGTGCTAGGGGGCATTCAGTTTAGGGTTCTGCCGAAGGTGCTGTTTTGGACGCTGTTTGGGGTGCTGTTGGAGGTGCTGGTGATTGCGGCGAGACTGACGGCCGTGTGCTCTGGGGGTGCTGTTTGCTCCGCACTTCGGGGGGTGCTGTTAGAGGTGATGGTGTGCAATCATCCGCTGGTTTTTCACTATTTGGGGTCTATGCAGGTGTAATGTTTTTGACTGCTTCACGTCGGACCGACAGCATCCATTTTGGTGGGATTCAACCTTTCCAGGGGCGGTTCGGAGTCCCAAGCTGAGCGACATGCCATGGTAGGGAGGATGTCTCAGACAAAGCCTGGATGTTTGGTGCATTCTACTTTGTACCCTCCCACCAACAAGCACGGAGGTACGCAGGTGCAAAATGCCTGTGCGACTCCTCTGTGGGATGGCACAAAGTCTGCAGTATCTTTGCTATTTTTTCGAGGCCAGATTTGCGGATCTTTGTCAGTTCAGCTTTGACAACCGGCCAGGGGCCAAGCAAGAAGGGCATCTTTGATGGAAAATGCCACGAAAGGTTATGGCAGCAGATTTGCTGCTAATTGAGAGGCCTAACCGTCCAATTTTAGGGTTTCAGCAGCCTACTGGTCCTTCTGCAGAATTTGAGTCTTGGTAGCCATTGTGGACTTCTGTCAAAGCATTTAGAGCAACTCGGCTGAAGCGTCAGAAGCCGCGGAAGGGAGCATGAGAATGGTCTGCTTGTCCAAGAGATGTGAGACCCCAGTGAAGCTCCTTTGGGCCGGTTGTGTTCGCTTCTGTCGGTTGGCTGAATGACGCACCATTCCTTTGCTGTTCGGGCCGTGTATTGATATGTACTTGCGGCCACGTTTTCTGTCGAGTTTATTCCCGATCCCAAACGAGATCACACTGCGCAAGATGAACTTCATTTGTAGAAATTCATATGGGCCTGCCTCAGCACCTTTGGGGTTTTCCGGTTCGGATTAAGAGGCCTGTGAGCCTCAGAGGGTGTCCGCTTCTCCACTTCCCTCGCATGTTGGATCAGTGGGATTCATGAATGTGTTCGCCTGTGCACAGTTCCAAGAACTCCAGGAAGGTGCCTTGTCACTGGAGGGATGTGGCACCACTCTAGAAAGTGCAAAGGAACACATACCTGACAGCTGACTACATAGCAGATCTTGTCACTGGGACAGTTGCGTTTCGTAGAGATTGAACCCGTTTCCTTGAGAGGATGATGTGATACGGTGGTCATGTACGCTGGGCTGATTTGCGTGCAGCATGTTTTTGCAGGCATTTTGCAGCTGAATAGTGCAGTTGAGACTTCGAAGAACTCGAGATGCTTCGCCCTTGTATCATCTTCTCCTTGCTGCTAAGCGGAAGGGCCTGCTCGTGGGAGTGGGCCGGAGTCTACCACGCCCATGAAGCAGGCATGCTGACATGGACCTTTGAGAAGAAGCAAACTGCCAATCAGTATGCCGATCCTTCTATGAAAGTGGCCCTCCGAAGTACAAGCTCTGCCAGCGCTGCTGGCATCACAGCTGTGCAAACCGCAGCGGAAGCTGATCTCAATGGCACTTTGACCACCGTGTCCAGTGGAGCAGTTCTGAGCTTGAACGCAGCCTACCAGCTCCAGTTTGATGCAGATTCTTGGATCAGCATTTTCAAGTTTCCTGTGGCAGCTGAAAGCAATATCGCGGTCTTTGCAGAGCACTTTCCTTCTGAGTTCAGTGACCAACTGTCTACCGTAATCCGCAACGACCATGCTGAAGATCTGTCTCCTAGCCACACAATGGCATGTGACGATCATGAAGAGAGCACTTCCACAGACAGGATTGGAGAGGTCATTGCTGCATCCCTGGTGACTGCGCTTCCAACTCTGTGCGGCGTAGCATTGCTGGCCATGTCCTGTTCAAGTGGCAGCCCAACGTTCAAAACGATACTTCACTTTACCAACTCCCTTGCCGCTGGCATTCTCCTGGCAGCCGCCTTGTTCCTCCTCATGCCAGAGGCCAGTCACATGCTTGCAGTTGGTAGAACTGAAGCTGAAGCTGCTGCAGCATGGGGCAGCACCTGCATCGCTGGTTGGCTACTAGGAGCGATTTCTCACCTTGCTGGAGCGGTGGTGAAGAAGAAGTGTGGAGGGGACAGCGGAAGTGAGAACGATACGAAGGCTGAGAACGATACGAAGGCAGTTGCCATAGGCGATGAGAGAGAGATGCCTCCAGCGAAAAGGATGATGTGGGTACTTGGGTTTCCCATTTTTACTGGAGACTTCTTCTGCAACCTCGCAGATGGCTTCGTTCTTGGGACAGCTTTCAAAGCGTGCAGCCCCAGCTTTGCATGGAAGATGGCCGGCATTATAATTGCTCATGAGCTTCCGCAAGAAATTGCGGATATCTACACCTTGGTCTTCAAAGCTGGAATGAAGTGGTGGCAGGCTACCCTCCTCAACTTTCTTTGTGGTTGTGCAGCGGTCCTAGGTGCAATCGTTGCATACTACGCAGACATTCCCTCAGAGGCTGAGGGCGCAGTTCTGGCGCTGGCTGGCGGGGTTTTCCTCTATGTGGCCCTCACTGAGCTGGCACCTTCGGTGAACCACACTCCGGAGTCATCTTGGCCTTTGCTCACTGCATGTGCGACAATCACGATTTTCATTGTGGGGGCTGCTTCTATCGGATTGATTCTTCTTGACCATGAACATTGCTCCGCGGGCGGACATGGACATGGCGACAGCCATGGGGACGCACACGGAGACTGAACTGATAGTTGACTTCTTGCCAAGGGGCAGTCATCATTGACTTTTGCCAAGGGGCGGTCGTGATACTTTTTCCCCCTGCGCCTGCGGGCATTTTGTCCGACTTGCAGCTGCAATGCCCAGCTGCAAGCGCTTGCCATGAGAGTATGGGTCAAAATTATTGACCACACAATTGGACAGTTGAGACTCAGACTTAGTGGGGCCAAGTTTGTGGGTTTTGTGTACCCCAATCTTGACCCATACTCTCAGTACTGATCATTTTTCTTTCAGCTCCTGATGCTGATGGGTAGACCTTCGTTGTTGGCAACACGGGAGCTGTGATAAGCTTGCCACATTCCCAGGTCGCTGAGGGGTGGGTTTTCCATTCAAGTCTGGCACGGAGCAAAGCGCAGATCCGGTTCCAGACTTGATTCAGCTGAGCTGATGCCCACAAGATTGGTGTCCGTCCGTGGACCAAAAGCTGTTTTACTGCGAAGGCGATGGCTGTAAGATGACGAAACCGTGAAGCCCAGTTGGATCCATCATTGCTTCTCCAGAGTCAGTTTCATCCATTCAATCGGTGTTTGCCAATGTTTGTTTTTGGTGGTGTGGAGAAGCGACAAGCATGGTGGCTGCATGGGCACTGGAAGCCGTGGTTGTTTGGAGCGAACAAGGGAACACATGTTTTCCTCATGAACAGTACTGAACGTTTGAAAAGCGAAGTAACGTATTCGGCCCTATGACCACGTGTTTCGGGCAAAGCCTTTTGACCAAAAGGCAGCCTTTTGGCGCTCCAGGGTCGTTTTATTGGAGGGTTTCCTTTTGGGAGCAGTTTTTCCGGTCAAAAAGCGGTCTTTACCCGTACGAGAAAGAGAGAGAACGAAAGACCCAAAGAAACAAAGAGAAAGAAACAAGCAACGCAAAGAAGAAGGAAAGAAAGAGAAAGGAAAACGCGAGAAGTAGAGAGAAAGAGAAGAGAAGAGAAGAGAAGAGAAGAGGAGAGGAGAGAAGAGGAGAGAAAATAAAGGAAGAAATGGGAAGATGAGGGGGTGAGAAGAGAGAGTTTTCCGTGAATTTTCCACTCAGAGGTCGAGTCTTCCATTCAGGATGATGAATCAATTTGACAAATCCATGTTGGGACATGAAGAAACATTTGCTGAAGCCACACCTAAAGGAGATCTTGGGATGCAGCTTGTTTAACTGCTTGCTGGTCCCAAGATCCTCTGTGACATCATGGTTGCAGTGTGATGGGGAACCGACACCTTTTTGAGTTCACACCAAAACGACTGTTGGGTTGTAGGCGCAAAATGCCTGTGCGACTCCTCCGGGACCCTCCAGGATGGCACACAATCTGCAGTATCTTCGCCGTTTTCCGAGGCCAGATTTGCGGATCTTTGTGAGTTCAGCTTCGACAACGGGCCCAGGGGCCAAGCAGGGGTATCGATGGAACATGCCACGGAACAGAAAAGGATCCGCGGATTTGCTGCTAAGCTAGAGGCTCCATCCAATTTTAGGGTTTCAGTAGCCTATTCATCCTTATGCCGAATTGGAATCTTGTCAGCCATGTAGACTTCTGTCCACGGCTCATTCGGGTTCCGCCTTTGATGTGCGCTGGTCGTGATAGTTCTGGACGCCTGTGCGTCCGTGTGAAAGAATCTGCGATATGCCGTCAGAACATTGAGCCACATGTTTTGCACACCTTTATCCATGAATTTCCGGGTCCTGCAAGGCGTTTGGGGAGAGGCCCTCTCTATGCACTCTGGCAGGCGGCCGGGCATTCGCCCCCGCTGCCCCGGCTACAGCGTCTTTGCTTCACTGCAACTCGGCTGAAGCGTCAGAAGCCGCGGAAGGGAGCATGAGAATGGTCTGCTTGTCCAAGAGATGTGAGACCCCAGTGAAGCTCCTTTGGGCCGGTTGTGTTCGCTTCTGTCGGTTGGCTGAATGACGCACCATTCCTTTGCTGTTCGGGCCGTGTATTGATATGTACTTGCGGCCACGTTTTCTGTCGAGTTTATTCCCGATCCCAAACGAGATCACACTGCGCAAGATGAACTTCATTTGTAGAAATTCATATGGGCCTGCCTCAGCACCTTTGGGGTTTTCCGGTTCGGATTAAGAGGCCTGTGAGCCTCAGAGGGTGTCCGCTTCTCCACTTCCCTCGCATGTTGGATCAGTGGGATTCATGAATGTGTTCGCCTGTGCACAGTTCCAAGAACTCCAGGAAGGTGCCTTGTCACTGGAGGGATGTGGCACCCACTCTAGAAAGTGCATAGGAACACATACCTGACAGCTGACTACATAGCAGATCTTGTCACTGGGACAGTTGCGTTTCGTAGAGATTGAACCCGTTTCCTTGAGAGGATGATGTGATACGGTGGTCATGTACGCTGGGCTGATTTGCGTGCAGCATGTTTTTGCAGGCATTTTGCAGCTGAATAGTGCAGTTGAGACTTCGAAGAACTCGAGATGCTTCGCCCTTGTATCATCTTCTCCTTGCTGCTAAGCGGAAGGGCCTGCTCGTGGGAGTGGGCCGGAGTCTACCACGCCCATGAAGCAGGCATGCTGACATGGACCTTTGAGAAGAAGCAAACTGCCAATCAGTATGCCGATCCTTCTATGAAAGTGGCCCTCCGAAGTACAAGCTCTGCCAGCGCTGCTGGCATCACAGCTGTGCAAACCGCAGCGGAAGCTGATCTCAATGGCACTTTGACCACCGTGTCCAGTGGAGCAGTTCTGAGCTTGAACGCAGCCTACCAGCTCCAGTTTGATGCAGATTCTTGGATCAGCATTTTCAAGTTTCCTGTGGCAGCTGAAAGCAATATCGCGGTCTTTGCAGAGCACTTTCCTTCTGAGTTCAGTGACCAACTGTCTACCGTAATCCGCAACGACCATGCTGAAGATCTGTCTCCTAGCCACACAATGGCATGTGACGATCATGAAGAGAGCACTTCCACAGACAGGATTGGAGAGGTCATTGCTGCATCCCTGGTGACTGCGCTTCCAACTCTGTGCGGCGTAGCATTGCTGGCCATGTCCTGTTCAAGTGGCAGCCCAACGTTCAAAACGATACTTCACTTTACCAACTCCCTTGCCGCTGGCATTCTCCTGGCAGCCGCCTTGTTCCTCCTCATGCCAGAGGCCAGTCACATGCTTGCAGTTGGTAGAACTGAAGCTGAAGCTGCTGCAGCATGGGGCAGCACCTGCATCGCTGGTTGGCTACTAGGAGCGATTTCTCACCTTGCTGGAGCGGTGGTGAAGAAGAAGTGTGGAGGGGACAGCGGAAGTGAGAACGATACGAAGGCTGAGAACGATACGAAGGCAGTTGCCATAGGCGATGAGAGAGAGATGCCTCCAGCGAAAAGGATGATGTGGGTACTTGGGTTTCCCATTTTTACTGGAAACTTCTTCTGCAACCTCGCAGATGGCTTCGTTCTTGGGACAGCTTTCAAAGCGTGCAGCCCCAGCTTTGCATGGAAGATGGCCGGCATTATAATTGCTCATGAGCTTCCGCAAGAAATTGCGGATATCTACACCTTGGTCTTCAAAGCTGGAATGAAGTGGTGGCAGGCTACCCTCCTCAACTTTCTTTGTGGTTGTGCAGCGGTCCTAGGTGCAATCGTTGCATACTACGCAGACATTCCCTCGGAGGCTGAGGGCGCAGTTCTGGCGCTGGCTGGCGGGGTTTTCCTCTATGTGGCCCTCACTGAGCTGGCACCTTCGGTGAACCACACTCCGGAGTCATCTTGGCCTTTGCTCACTGCATGTGCGACAATCACGATTTTCATTGTGGGGGCTGCTTCTATCGGATTGATTCTTCTTGACCATGAACATTGCTCCGCGGGCGGACATGGACATGGCGACAGCCATGGGGACGCACACGGAGACTGAACTGATAGTTGACTTCTTGCCAAGGGGCAGTCATCATTGACTTTTGCCAAGGGGCGGTCGTGATACTTTTTCCCCCTGCGCCTGCGGGCATTTTGTCCGACTTGCAGCTGCAATGCCCAGCTGCAAGCGCTTGCCATGAGAGTATGGGTCAAAATTATTTACCACACAATTGGACAGTTGAGACCCAGACTTAGTGGGGCCAAGTTTGTGGGTTTTTTGTGTACCCCAATCTTGACCCATACTCTCAGTACTGATCATTTTTCTTGCAGCTCCTGATGCTGATGGGTAGACCTTCGTTGTTGGCAACACGGGAGCTGTGATAAGCTTGCCACATTCCCAGGTCGCTGAGGGGTGGGTTTTCCATTCAAGTCTGGCACGGAGCAAAGCGCAGATCCGGTTCCAGACTTGATTCAGCTGAGCTGATGCCCACAAGATTGGTGTCCGTCCGTGGACCAAAAGCTGTTTTATTGCGAAGGCGATGGCTGTAAGATGACGAAACCGTGAAGCCCAGTTGGATCCATCATTGCTTCTCCAGAGTCAGTTTCATCCATTCAATCGGTGTTTGCCAAGGTGGTAGTGTTTGTTTTTGGTGGTGTGGAGAAGCGACAAGCATGGTGGCTGCATGGGCACTGGAAGCCGTGGTTGTTTGGAGCAAACAAGGGAACACATGTTTTCCTCATGAACAGTACTGAACGTTTGAAAAGCGAAGTAACGTATTCGGCCCTATGACCACGTGTTTCGGGCAAAGCCTTTTGACCAAAAGGCAGCCTTTTGGCGTTCCAGGGTCGTTTTATTGGAGGGTGTCCTTTTGGGAGCAGTTTTTCCGGTCAAAAAGCCGTCTTTACCCGTACGAGAAAGAGAGAGAACGAAAGACCCAAAGAAACAAAGAGAAAGAAACAAGCAACGCAAAGAAGAAGGAAAGAAAGTGAAAGGAAAACACGAGAAGTAGAGAGAAAGAGAGAGAGAAAGAAAGCTACAGAAGAGAGATCAGAGAGAGAAGAGAGAAGAGGAGAGAAAGTAAGGGAAGACATGGGAAGATGGGGGGGTGAGAAGAGAGAGTTTCCGTGAATTTTTCACTCAGAGGGTAAATCCATGTAAAGCCATCAATTCCCAGAATCTTTGGCCTACTGGGTTCCTACGCAACATCGCTCAGGGTGCGAGGGAGTTGGGCGATAGTCCCGACCTTTCTCTGTGCTGTCAAGACCTGGCCAAAGCGAGTCTTCCATTCAGGATGATGAATCAATTTGACAAATCCATGTTGGGACAGGAAGAAACATTTGCTGAAGCCACACCTAAAGGAGATCTTGGAATGCAACTTGTTTAACTGCTTGCTGGTCCCAAGATCCTCTGTGACATCATGGTTGCAGTGTGATGGGGAACCGACACCTTTTTGAGTTCACACCAAAACGACTGTTGGGTTGTAGGCGCAAAATGCATGTGCGACTCCTCTGGGACCCTCCAGGATGGCACACAATCTGCAGTATCTTCGCCGTTTTCCGAGGCCAGATTTGCGGATCTTTGTGAGTTCAGCTTCGACAACGGGCCCAGGGGCCAAGCAGGGGTATCGATGGAACATGCCACGGAAGGTTATGGCCCATTGGTAGTCAATGGTCAGAAAAGGATCCGCGGATTTGCTGCTAAGCTAGAGGCTCCATCCAATTTTAGGGTTTCAGCAGCCTATTCATCCTTATGCCGAATTGGAATCTTGGCAGCCATGTACTGTCCACGGCTCATTCGGGTTCCGCCTTTGATGTGCGCTGGTCGTGATAGTTCTGGACGCCCATTCGTCCGTGTGAAAGAATCTGCGATATGCCGTCAGAACATTGAGCCACATGTGTTGCAGACCTTTATCCATGAATTTCCGGGCCCTGCAAGGCGTTTGGGGAGAGCCCCTCTCTATGCACTCTGGCAGGCGGCCGGGCATTCGCCCCCGCTGCCCCGGCTACAGCGTCTTTGCTTCACTGCAACTCGGCTGAAGCGTCAGAAGCCGCGGAAGGGAGCATGAGAATGGTCTGTTTGTCCAAGACCTTAGCACAGTTCCAAGAACTGCAGGAAGGCGCCTTGTCACTGGAGGGATGTGGCACCTACTCTAGAAAGTGCATAGGAACACATACCTGACAGCTGACTACATAGCAGATCTTGTCACTGGGACAGTTGCGTTTCGTAGAGATTGAACCTTGAGAGGATGATGTGATACGTCAATGTACGCTGGGCTGACACAATGGCATGTGACGATCATGAAGAGAGCACTTCCACAGACAGGATTGGAGAGGTCATTGCTGCATCCCTGGTGACTGCGCTTCCAACTCTGTGCGGCGTAGCTTTGCTGGCCATGTCCTGTTCAAGTGGCAGCCCAACGTTCAAAACGCCCTTGCCGCTGCAGCAGCCGCCTTGTTTCCTCATTCACATGCAGTTGGTAGAACAGCTGAAGCTGCTGCAGCATGGGGCAGCACCTGCAGCTGGTTGGCTACTAGGAGCGATTTCTCACCTTGCTGGAGCGGTGGTGAAGAAGAAGTGTGGAGGGGCAGCGGAAGTGAGAACGATACGAAGGCTGAGAACGATACGAAGGCAGTTGCCGCGATGAGAGAGAGATGCCTCCAGCGAAAAGGATGATGTGGGTACTTGGGTTTCCCATTTTTACTGGAGACTTCTTCTGCAACCTCGCAGATGGCTTCGTTCTTGGGACAGCTTTCAAAGCGTGCAGCCCCAGCTTTGCATGGAAGATGGCCGGCATTATAATTGCTCATGAGCTTATTGCGGATATCTACACCTTGGTCTTCAAAGCTGGAATGAAGTGGTGGCAGGCTACCCTCCTCAACTTTCTTTGTGGTTGTGCAGCGGTCCAGGTGCAATCGTTGCATACTACGCAGACATTCCCTCAGAGGCTGAGGGCGCACTGGCTGGCTCCTCTATGTGGCCCTCACTGAGCTACCTTCGAACCACACTCCAGTCACTTTGCTCACTGCATGTGCGACAATCACGTTCAATCTTGCTTGGAAAGGACATTGCCATCTGAACAGTTGACTTCTTGTCATCATTGACCAAGTCGTGAACGACTTGCAGCTGCAATGCCCAGCTGCAAGCGCTTGCTCATTGATTGGACGACTCAGACGCCAATGTGGGTACTGCAATGCAGCAACAGAGAGCTTGCAGGTCGCTGACATTCAAGTCTGCGCAGATCCGGGACTTGCAGTGGCTACTGACACTGGTGGCAGAGCGTTCCTCTGTTTATTGCAGGCTGGCAGAAGCCCTCAGAGGCTGAGGGCGCAGTTCTGGCGCTGGCTGGCGGGGTTTTCCTCTATGTGGCCCTCACTGAGCTGGCACCTTCGGTGAACCACACTCCGGAGTCATCTTGGCCTTTGCTCACTGCATGTGCGACAATCACGATTTTCATTGTGGGGGCTGCTTCTATCGGATTGATTCTTCTTGACCATGAACATTGCTCCGCGGGCGGACATGGACATGGCGACAGCCATGGGGACGCACACGGAGACTGAACTGATAGTTGACTTCTTGCCAAGGGGCAGTCATCATTGACTTTTGCCAAGGGGCGGTCGTGATACTTTTTACCCCTGCGCCTGCGGGCATTTTGTCCGACTTGCAGCTGCAATGCCCAGCTGCAAGCGCTTGCCATGAGAGTATGGGTCAAAATTATTGACCACACAATTGGACAGTTGAGACTCAGACTTAGTGGGGCCAAGTTTGTGGGTTTTTTGTGTACCCCAATCTTGACCCATACTCTCAGTACTGATCATTTTTCTTTCAGCTCCTGATGCTGATGGGTAGACCTTCGTTGCTGGCAACACGGGAGCTGTGATAAGCTTGCCACATTCCCAGGTCGCTGAGGGGTGGGTTTTCCATTCAAGTCTGGCACGGAGCAAAGCGCAGATCCGGTTCCAGACTTGATTCAGCTGAGCTGATGCCCACAAGATTGGTGTCCGTCCGTGGACCAAAAGCTGTTTTATTGCGAAGGCGATGGCTGTAAGATGACGAAACCGTGAAGCCCAGTTGGATCCATCATTGCTTCTCCAGAGTCAGTTTCATCCATTCAATCGGTGTTTGCCAAGGTGGTAGTGTTCGTTTTTGGTGGTGTGGAGAAGCGACAAGCATGGTGGCTGCATGGGCACTGGAAGCCGTGGTTGTTTGGAGCAAACAAGGGAACACATGTTTTCCTCATGAACAGTACTGAACATTTGAAAAGCGAAGTAACGTATTCGGCCGTATGACCACGTGTTTCGGGCAAAGCCTTTTGACCAAAAGGCAGCCTTTTGGCACTCGAGGGTCGTTTTATTGGAGGGTGTCCTTTTGGGAGCAGTTTTTCCGGTCAAAAAGCCGTCTTTACCCGTACGAGAAAGAGAGAGAACGAAAGACCCAAAGAAACAAAGAGAAAGAAACAAGCAACGCAAAGAAGAAGGAAAGAAAGAGAAAGGAAAACACGAGAAGTAGAGAGAAAGAGAGAGAAAGAAAGCTACAGAAGAGAGATCAGAGAGAGAAGAGAGAAGAGGAGAGAAAGTAAGGGAAGACATGGGAAGATGGGGGGGTGAGAAGAGAGAGTTTCCGTGAATTTTTCACTCAGAGGGTAAATCCATGCAAAGCGATCAATTCCCAGAATCTTTGGCCTACTGGGTTCCTACGCAACATCGCTCAGGGTGCGAGGGAGTTGGGCGATAGTCCCGACCTTTCTCTGTGCTGTCAAGACCTGGCCAAAGCGAGTCTTCCATTCAGGATGATGAATCAATTTGACAAATCCATGTTGGGACAGGAAGAAACATTTGCTGAAGCCACACCTAAAGGAGATCTTGGAATGCAACTTGTTTAACTGCTTGCTGGTCCCAAGATCCTCTGTGACATCATGGTTGCAGTGTGATGGGGAACCGACACCTTTTTGAGTTCACACCAAAACGACTGTTGGGTTGTAGGCGCAAAATGCATGTGCGACTCCTCTGGGACCCTCCAGGATGGCACACAATCTGCAGTATCTTCGCCGTTTTCCGAGGCCAGATTTGCGGATCTTTGTGAGTTCAGCTTCGACAACGGGCCCAGGGGCCAAGCAGGGGTATCGATGGAACATGCCACGGAACAGAAAAGGATCCGCGGATTTGCTGGTAAGCTAGAGGCTCCATCCAATTTTAGGGTTTCAGTAGCCTATTCATCCTGATGCCGAATGGGAATCTTGTCAGCCATGTAGACTTCTGTCCACGGCTCATTCGGGTTCCGCCTTTGATGTGCGCTGGTCGTGATAGTTCTGGACGCCTGTGCGTCCGTGTGAAAGAATCTGCGATATGCCGTCAGAACATTGAGCCACATGTTTTGCACACCTTTATCCATGAATTTCCGGGTCCTGCAAGGCGTTTGGGGAGAGGCCCTCTCTATGCACTCTGGCAGGCGGCCGGGCATTCGCCCCCGCTGCCCCGGCTACAGCGTCTTTGCTTCACTGCAACTCGGCTGAAGCGTCAGAAGCCGCGGAAGGGAGCATGAGAATGGTCTGCTTGTCCAAGAGATGTGAGACCCCAGTGAAGCTCCTTTGGGCCGGTTGTGTTCGCTTCTGTCGGTTGGCTGAATGACGCACCATTCCTTTGCTGTTCGGGCCGTGTATTGATATGTACTTGCGGCCACGTTTTCTGTCGAGTTTGTTCCCGATCCCAAACGAGATCACACTGCGCAAGATGAACTTCATTTGTAGAAATTCATATGGGCCTGCCTCAGCACCTTTGGGGTTTTCCGGTTCGGATTAAGAGGCCTGTGAGCCTCAGAGGGTGTCCGCTTCTCCACTTCCCTCGCATGTTGGATCAGTGGGATTCATGAATGTGTTCGCCTGTGCACAGTTCCAAGAACTCCAGGAAGGTGCCTTGTCACTGGAGGGATGTGGCACCCACTCTAGAAAGTGCATAGGAACACATACCTGACAGCTGACTACATAGCAGATCTTGTCACTGGGACAGTTGCGTTTCGTAGAGATTGAACCCGTTTCCTTGAGAGGATGATGTGATACGGTGGTCATGTACGCTGGGCTGATTTGCGTGCAGCATGTTTTTGCAGGCATTTTGCAGCTGAATAGTGCAGTTGAGACTTCGAAGAACTCGAGATGCTTCGCCCTTGTATCATCTTCTCCTTGCTGCTAAGCGGAAGGGCCTGCTCGTGGGAGTGGGCCGGAGTCTACCACGCCCATGAAGCAGGCATGCTGACATGGACCTTTGAGAAGAAGCAAACTGCCAATCAGTATGCCGATCCTTCTATGAAAGTGGCCCTCCGAAGTACAAGCTCTGCCAGCGTTGCTGGCATCACAGCTGTGCAAACCGCAGCGGAAGCTGATCTCAATGGCACTTTGACCACCGTGTCCAGTGGAGCAGTTCTGAGCTTGAACGCAGCCTACCAGCTCCAGTTTGATGCAGATTCTTGGATCAGCATTTTCAAGTTTCCTGTGGCAGCTGAAAGCAATATCGCGGTCTCCTAGCCACACAATGGCATGTGACGATCATGAAGAGAGCACTTCCACAGACAGGATTGGAGAGGTCATTGCTGCATCCCTGGTGACTGCGCTTCCAACTCTGTGCGGCGTAGCTTTGCTGGCCATGTCCTGTTCAAGTGGCAGCCCAACGTTCAAAACGATACTTCACTTCACCAACTCCCTTGCCGCTGGCATTCTCCTGGCAGCCGCCTTGTTCCTCCTCATGCCAGAGGCCAGTCACATGCTTGCAGTTGGTAGAACTGAAGCTGAAGCTGCTGCAGCATGGGGCAGCACCTGCATCGCTGGTTGGCTACTAGGAGCGATTTCTCACCTTGCTGGAGCGGTGGTGAAGAAGAAGTGTGGAGGGGACAGCGGAAGTGAGAACGATACGAAGGCTGAGAACGATACGAAGGCAGTTGCCATAGGCGATGAGAGAGAGATGCCTCCAGCGAAAAGGATGATGTGGGTACTTGGGTTTCCCATTTTTACTGGAGACTTCTTCTGCAACCTCGCAGATGGCTTCGTTCTTGGGACAGCTTTCAAAGCGTGCAGCCCCAGCTTTGCATGGAAGATGGCCGGCATTATAATTGCTCATGAGCTTCCGCAAGAAATTGCGGATATCTACACCTTGGTCTTCAAAGCTGGAATGAAGTGGTGGCAGGCTACCCTCCTCAACTTTCTTTGTGGTTGTGCAGCGGTCCTAGGTGCAATCGTTGCATACTACGCAGACATTCCCTCGGAGGCTGAGGGCGCAGTTCTGGCGCTGGCTGGCGGGGTTTTCCTCTATGTGGCCCTCACTGAGCTGGCACCTTCGGTGAACCACACTCCGGAGTCATCTTGGCCTTTGCTCACTGCATGTGCGACAATCACGATTTTCATTGTGGGGGCTGCTTCTATCGGATTGATTCTTCTTGACCATGAACATTGCTCCGCGGGCGGACATGGACATGGCGACAGCCATGGGGACGCACACGGAGACTGAACTGATAGTTGACTTTTTGCCAAGGGGCAGTCATCATTGACTTTTGCCAAGGGGCGGTCGTGATACTTTTTACCCCTGCGCCTGCGGGCATTTTGTCCGACTTGCAGCTGCAATGCCCAGCTGCAAGCGCTTGCCATGAGAGTATGGGTCAAAATTATTGACCACACAATTGGACAGTTGAGACCCAGACTTAGTGGGGCCAAGTTTGTGGGTTTTGTGTACCCCAATCTTGACCCATACTCTCAGTACTGATCATTTTTCTTTCAGCTCCTGATGCTGATGGGTAGACCTTCGTTGTTGGCAACACGGGCACAGCTGTGATAAGCTTGCCACATTCCCAGGTCGCTGAGGGGTGGGTTTTCCATTCAAGTCTGGCACGGAGCAAAGCGCAGATCCGGTTCCAGACTTGATTCAGCTGAGCTGATGCCCACAAGATTGGTGTCCGTCCGTGGACCAAAAGCTGTTTTATTGCGAAGGCGATGGCTGTAAGATGACGAAACCGTGAAGCCCGGTTGGATCCCAGTTTCATCCATTCAATCGGTGTTTGCCAAGGTGGTAGTGTTTGTTTTTGGTGGTGTGGAGAAGCGACAAGCATGGTGGCTGCATGGGCACTGGAAGCCGTGGTTGTTTGGAGCAAACAAGGGAAATGTTTTCCTCATGAACAGTACTGAACGTTTGAAAAGCGAAGTAACGTATTCGGCCCTATGACCACGTGTTTCGGGCAAAGCCTTTTGACCAAAAGGCAGCCTTTTGGCGTTCCAGGGTCGTTTTATTGGAGGGTGTCCTTTTGGGAGCAGTTTTTCCGGTCAAAAAGCCGTCTTTACCCGTACGAGAAAGAGAGAGAACGAAAGACCCAAAGAAACAAAGAGAAAGAAACAAGCAACGCACAGAAGAAGGAAAGAAAGAGAAAGGAAAACACGAGAAGTAGAGAGAAAGAGAGAGAAAGAAAGCTACAGAAGAGAGATCAGAGAGAGAAGAGAGAAGAGGAGAGAAAGTAAGGGAAGACATGGGAAGATGGGGGGGTGAGAAGAGAGAGTTTCCGTGAATTTTTCACTCAGAGGGTAAATCCATGTAAAGCCATCAATTCCCAGAATCTTTGGCCTACTGGGTTCCTACGCAACATCGCTCAGGGTGCGAGGGAGTTGGGCGATAGTCCCGACCTTTCTCTGTGCTGTCAAGACCTGGCCAAAGCGAGTCTTCCATTCAGGATGATGAATCAATTTGACAAATCCATGTTGGGACAGGAAGAAACATTTGCTGAAGCCACACCTAAAGGAGATCTTGGAATGCAACTTGTTTAACTGCTTGCTGGTCCCAAGATCCTCTGTGACATCATGGTTGCAGTGTGATGGGGAACCGACACCTTTTTGAGTTCACACCAAAACGACTGTTGGGTTGTAGGCGCAAAATGCATGTGCGACTCCTCTGGGACCCTCCAGGATGGCACACAATCTGCAGTATCTTCGCCGTTTTCCGAGGCCAGATTTGCGGATCTTTGTGAGTTCAGCTTCGACAACGGGCCCAGGGGCCAAGCAGGGGTATCGATGGAACATGCCACGGAAGGTTATGGCCCATTGGTAGTCAATGGTCAGAAAAGGATCTGCGGATTTGCTGCTAAGCTAGAGGCTCCATCCAATTTTAGGGTTTCAGCAGCCTATTCATCCTTATGCCGAATTGGAATCTTGGCAGCCATGTACTGTCCACGGCTCATTCGGGTTCCGCCTTTGATGTGCGCTGGTCGTGATAGTTCTGGACGCCCATTTGTCCGTGTGAAAGAATCTGCGATATGCCGTCAGAACATTGAGCCACATGTGTTGCAGACCTTTATCCATGAATTTCTGGGTCCTGCAAGGCGTTTGGGGAGAGCCCCTCTCTATGCACTCTGGCAGGCGGCCGGGCATTCGCCCCCGCTGCCCCGGCTACAGCGTCTTTGCTTCAATGCAACTCGGCTGAAGCGTCAGAAGCCGCGGAAGGGAGCATGAGAATGGTCTGTTTGTCCAAGACCTTAGCACAGTTCCAAGAACTGCAGGAAGGTGCCTTGTCACTGGAGGGATGTGGCACCCACTCTAGAAAGTGCATAGGAACGCATACCTGACAGCTGACTACATAGCAGATCTTGTCACTGGGACAGTTGCGTTTCGTAGAGATTGAACCCGTTTCCTTGAGAGGATGATGTGATACGGTGGTCATGTACGCTGGGCTGATTTGCGTGCAGCATGTTTTTGCAGGCATTTTGCAGCTGAATAGTGCAGTTGAGACTTCGAAGAACTCGAGATGCTTCGCCCTTGTATCATCTTCTCCTTGCTGCTAAGCGGAAGGGCCTGCTCGTGGGAGTGGGCCGGAGTCTACCACGCCCATGAAGCAGGCATGCTGACATGGACCTTTGAGAAGAAGCAAACTGCCAATCAGTATGCCGATCCTTCTATGAAAGTGGCCCTCCGAAGTACAAGCTCTGCCAGCGTTGCTGGCATCACAGCTGTGCAAACCGCAGCGGAAGCTGATCTCAATGGCACTTTGACCACCGTGTCCAGTGGAGCAGTTCTGAGCTTGAACGCAGCCTACCAGCTCCAGTTTGATGCAGATTCTTGGATCAGCATTTTCAAGTTTCCTGTGGCAGCTGAAAGCAATATCGCGGTCTTTGCAGAGCACTTTCCTTCTGAGTTCAGTGACCAACTGTCTACCGTAATCCGCAACGACCATGCTGAAGATCTGTCTCCTAGCCACACAATGGCATGTGACGATCATGAAGAGAGCACTTCCACAGACAGGATTGGAGAGGTCATTGCTGCATCCCTGGTGACTGCGCTTCCAACTCTGTGCGGCGTAGCTTTGCTGGCCATGTCCTGTTCAAGTGGCAGCCCAACGTTCAAAACGATACTTCACTTCACCAACTCCCTTGCCGCTGGCATTCTCCTGGCAGCCGCCTTGTTCCTCCTCATGCCAGAGGCCAGTCACATGCTTGCAGTTGGTAGAACTGAAGCTGAAGCTGCTGCAGCATGGGGCAGCACCTGCATCGCTGGTTGGCTACTAGGAGCGATTTCTCACCTTGCTGGAGCGGTGGTGAAGAAGAAGTGTGGAGGGGACAGCGGAAGTGAGAACGATACGAAGGCTGAGAACGATACGAAGGCAGTTGCCATAGGCGATGAGAGAGAGATGCCTCCAGCGAAAAGGATGATGTGGGTACTTGGGTTTCCCATTTTTACTGGAGACTTCTTCTGCAACCTCGCAGATGGCTTCGTTCTTGGGACAGCTTTCAAAGCGTGCAGCCCCAGCTTTGCATGGAAGATGGCCGGCATTATAATTGCTCATGAGCTTCCGCAAGAAATTGCGGATATCTACACCTTGGTCTTCAAAGCTGGAATGAAGTGGTGGCAGGCTACCCTCCTCAACTTTCTTTGTGGTTGTGCAGCGGTCCTAGGTGCAATCGTTGCATACTACGCAGACATTCCCTCGGAGGCTGAGGGCGCAGTTCTGGCGCTGGCTGGCGGGGTTTTCCTCTATGTGGCCCTCACTGAGCTGGCACCTTCGGTGAACCACACTCCGGAGTCATCTTGGCCTTTGCTCACTGCATGTGCGACAATCACGATTTTCATTGTGGGGGCTGCTTCTATCGGATTGATTCTTCTTGACCATGAACATTGCTCCGCGGGCGGACATGGACATGGCGACAGCCATGGGGACGCACACGGAGACTGAACTGATAGTTGACTTCTTGCCAAGGGGCAGTCATCATTGACTTTTGCCAAGGGGCGGTCGTGATACTTTTTCCCCCTGCGCCTGCGGGCATTTTGTCCGACTTGCAGCTGCAATGCCCAGCTGCAAGCGCTTGCCATGAGAGTATGGGTCAAAATTATTGACCACACAATTGGACAATTGAGACTCAGACTTAGTGGGGCCAAGTTTGTGGGTTTTGTGTACCCCAATCTTGACCCATACTCTCAGTACTGATCATTTTTCTTTCAGCTCCTGATGCTGATGGGTAGACCTTCGTTGTTGGCAACACGGGCACAGCTGTGATAAGCTTGCCACATTCCCAGGTCGCTGAGGGGTGGGTTTTCCATTCAAGTCTGGCACGGAGCAAAGCGCAGATCCGGTTCCAGACTTGATTCAGCTGAGCTGATGCCCACAAGATTGGTGTCCGTCCGTGGACCAAAAGCTGTTTTATTGCGAAGGCGATGGCTGTAAGATGACGAAACCGTGAAGCCCCAAGGTATTCAAGGCTGCCCAAAAAAGGCGAGGCATCAGCCTACAACCCTGAGGATCACAAGATCCAGGTGAACCCCAAACTACCAAGTAGTATACCCATCATTTCCACATTGTCTGAGTTCAAGTGCCCTCGAAGCGGGAAAACTGCACGGGCGGTTTGCCCTTCTTCACAAGCACCATGAATCCAAGCCAATGCGTCTTTGCATTGAGAATTGCATCATAAGGTGATATCTTCACCTCATGGTCGGTCTGAATCTGCAATAGCTGATGCAACCTGGGTCCCTCCAGCTTTTCGAAGTATTTGCTGAGACAATCCCGCGCCTTATTAAAGCAAGGCATCCATGGCCTTCCATGCAACGTCCCAAGTGAGCCTGTAAAATAATATCCCAGGCGACAAGCATGGTGGCTGCATGGGCACTGGAAGCCGTGGTTGTTTGGAGCAAACAAGGGAACACATGTTTTCCTCATGAACAGTACTGAACGTTTGAAAAGCGAAGTAACGTATTCGGCCCTATGACCACGTGTTTCGGGCAAAGCCTTTTGACCAAAAGGCAGCCTTTTGGCGTTCCAGGGTCGTTTTATTGGAGGGTGTCCTTTTGGGAGCAGTTTTTCCGGTCAAAAAGCCGTCTTTACCCGTACGAGAAAGAGAGAGAACGAAAGACCCAAAGAAACAAAGAGAAAGAAACAAGCAACGCAAAGAAGAAGGAAAGAAAGAGAAAGGAAAACACGAGAAGTAGAGAGAAAGAGAGGGAAAGAAAGCTACAGAAGAGAGATCAGAGAGAGAAGAGAGAAGAGGAGAGAAAGTAAGGGAAGACATGGGAAGATGGGGGGGTGAGAAGAGAGAGTTTCCGTGAATTTTTCACTCAGAGGGTAAATCCATGTAAAGCCATCAATTCCCAGAATCTTTGGCCTACTGGGTTCCTACGCAACATCGCTCAGGGTGCGAGGGAGTTGGGCGATAGTCCCGACCTTTCTCTGTGCTGTCAAGACCTGGCCAAAGCGAGTCTTCCATTCAGGATGATGAATCAATTTGACAAATCCGTGTTGGGACAGGAAGAAACATTTGCTGAAGCCACACCTAAAGGAGATCTTGGAATGCAACTTGTTTAACGGCTTGCTGGTCCCAAGATCCTCTGTGACATCATGGTTGCAGTGTGATGGGGAACCGACACCTTTTTGAGTTCACACCAAAACGACTGTTGGGTTGTAGGCGCAAAATGCATGTGCGACTCCTCTGGGACCCTCCAGGATGGCACACAATCTGCAGTATCTTCGCCGTTTTCCGAGGCCAGATTTGCGGATCTTTGTGAGTTCAGCTTCGACAACGGGCCCAGGGGCCAAGCAGGGGTATCGATGGAACATGCCACGGAACAGAAACCGCGGATTTGCTGGTAAGCTAGAGGCTCCATCCAATTTTAGGGTTTCAGTAGCCTATTCATCCTGATGCCGAATGGGAATCTTGTCAGCCATGTAGACTTCTGTCCACGGCTCATTCGGGTTCCGCCTTTGATGTGCGCTGGTCGTGATAGTTCTGGACGCCTGTGCGTCCGTGTGAAAGAATCTGCGATATGCCGTCAGAACATTGAGCCACATGTTTTGCACACCTTTATCCATGAATTTCCGGGTCCTGCAAGGCGTTTGGGGAGAGCCCCTCTCTATGCACTCTGGCAGGCGGCCGGGCATTCGCCCCCGCTGCCCCGGCTACAGCGTCTTTGCTTCACTGCAACTCGGCTGAAGCGTCAGAAGCCGCGGAAGGGAGCATGAGAATGGTCTGCTTGTCCAAGAGATGTGAGACCCCAGTGAAGCTCCTTTGGGCCGGTTGTGTTCGCTTCTGTCGGTTGGCTGAATGACGCACCATTCCTTTGCTGTTCGGGCCGTGTATTGATATGTACTTGCGGCCACGTTTTCTGTCGAGTTTATTCCCGATCCCAAACGAGATCACACTGCGCAAGATGAACTTCATTTGTAGAAATTCATATGGGCCTGCCTCAGCACCTTTGGGGTTTTCCGGTTCGGATTAAGAGGCCTGTGAGCCTCAGAGGGTGTCCGCTTCTCCACTTCCCTCGCATGTTGGATCAGTGGGATTCATGAATGTGTTCGCCTGTGCACAGTTCCAAGAACTCCAGGAAGGTGCCTTGTCACTGGAGGGATGTGGCACCCACTCTAGAAAGTGCATAGGAACACATACCTGACAGCTGACTACATAGCAGATCTTGTCACTGGGACAGTTGCGTTTCGTAGAGATTGAACCCGTTTCCTTGAGAGGATGATGTGATACGGTGGTCATGTACGCTGGGCTGATTTGCGTGCAGCATGTTTTTGCAGGCATTTTGCAGCTGAATAGTGCAGTTGAGACTTCGAAGAACTCGAGATGCTTCGCCCTTGTATCATCTTCTCCTTGCTGCTAAGCGGAAGGGCCTGCTCGTGGGAGTGGGCCGGAGTCTACCACGCCCATGAAGCAGGCATGCTGACATGGACCTTTGAGAAGAAGCAAACTGCCAATCAGTATGCCGATCCTTCTATGAAAGTGGCCCTCCGAAGTACAAGCTCTGCCAGCGCTGCTGGCATCACAGCTGTGCAAACCGCAGCGGAAGCTGATCTCAATGGCACTTTGACCACCGTGTCCAGTGGAGCAGTTCTGAGCTTGAACGCAGCCTACCAGCTCCAGTTTGATGCAGATTCTTGGATCAGCATTTTCAAGTTTCCTGTGGCAGCTGAAAGCAATATCGCGGTCTTTGCAGAGCACTTTCCTTCTGAGTTCAGTGACCAACTGTCTACCGTAATCCGCAACGACCATGCTGAAGATCTGTCTCCTAGCCACACAATGGCATGTGACGATCATGAAGAGAGCACTTCCACAGACAGGATTGGAGAGGTCATTGCTGCATCCCTGGTGACTGCGCTTCCAACTCTGTGCGGCGTAGCTTTGCTGGCCATGTCCTGTTCAAGTGGCAGCCCAACGTTCAAAACGATACTTCACTTTACCAACTCCCTTGCCGCTGGCATTCTCCTGGCAGCCGCCTTGTTCCTCCTCATGCCAGAGGCCAGTCACATGCTTGCAGCTGGTAGAACTGAAGCTGAAGCTGCTGCAGCATGGGGCAGCACCTGCATCGCTGGTTGGCTACTAGGAGCGATTTCTCACCTTGCTGGAGCGGTGGTGAAGAAGAAGTGTGGAGGGGACAGCGGAAGTGAGAACGATACGAAGGCTGAGAACGATACGGTTACGAAGGCAGTTGCCATAGGCGATGAGAGAGAGATGCCTCCAGCGAAAAGGATGATGTGGGTACTTGGGTTTCCCATTTTTACTGGAGACTTCTTCTGCAACCTCGCAGATGGCTTCGTTCTTGGGACGGCTTTCAAAGCGTGCAGCCCCAGCTTTGCATGGAAGATGGCCGGCATTATAATTGCTCATGAGCTTCCGCAAGAAATTGCGGATATCTACACCTTGGTCTTCAAAGCTGGAATGAAGTGGTGGCAGGCTACCCTCCTCAACTTTCTTTGTGGTTGTGCAGCGGTCCTAGGTGCAATCGTTGCATACTACGCAGACATTCCCTCAGAGGCTGAGGGCGCAGTTCTGGCGCTGGCTGGCGGGGTTTTCCTCTATGTGGCCCTCACTGAGCTGGCACCTTCGGTGAACCACACTCCGGAGTCATCTTGGCCTTTGCTCACTGCATGTGCGACAATCACGATTTTCATTGTGGGGGCTGCTTCTATCGGATTGATTCTTCTTGACCATGAACATTGCTCCGCGGGCGGACATGGACATGGCGACAGCCATGGGGACGCACACGGAGACTGAACTGATAGTTGACTTCTTGCCAAGGGGCAGTCATCATTGACTTTTGCCAAGGGGCGGTCGTGATACTTTTTCCCCCTGCGCCTGCGGGCATTTTGTCCGACTTGCAGCTGCAATGCCCAGCTGCAAGCGCTTGCCATGAGAGTATGGGTCAAAATTATTGACCACACAAGTGGACAGTTGAGACTCAAACTTAGTGGGGCCAAGTTTGTGGGTTTTGTGTACCCCAATCTTGACCCATACTCTCAGTACTGATCATTTTTCTTTCAGCTCCTGATGCTGATGGGTAGACCTTCGTTGTTGGCAACACGGGAGCTGTGATAAGCTTGCCACATTCGAAGGTCGCTGAGGGGTGGGTTTTCCATTCAAGTCTGGCACGGAAAGCGCAGATCCGGTTCCAGACTTGATTCAGCTGAGCTGATGCCCACAAGATTGGTGTCCGTCCGTGGACCAAAAGCTGTTTTATTGCGAAGGCGATGGCTGTAAGATGACGAAACCGTGAAGCCCAGTTGGATCCATTGCTTCTCCAGAGTCAGTTTCATCCATTCAATCGGTGTTTGCCAAGGTGGTAGTGTTCGTTTTTGGTGGTGTGGAGAAGCGACAAGCATGGTGGCTGCATGGGCACTGGAAGCCGTGGTTGTTTGGAGCAAACAAGGGAACACATGTTTTCCTCATGAACAGCAGCTGAAAGTTGTGAACTCAGTGAATTTTCCACTTGCAGGTTGGCCAATTTCAGAGGGTACAACCATGTAAAACCATCAATTCCTCAACAATCGTGGGCCTACTGGGTTCCCACACAACATCGCTCAAAGTGCTGGGGAGTTGGGTGATAGTCCCAAACTTGCCCTGTGTTGTCAAGACCCGGTCATGAGTCAAGGCTAAGGCGAGCCTTCTATTCAGGATGATGAATCCATTTGACAAACACATGTTGGGACTGGAAGAAACATTTGCTGAAGCCACACCTAAAGGAGATCTTGGAATGCAACTTGTTTAACTGCTTGCTGGGCCCAAGATCCTCTGTGACATCATGGTTGCAGTGTGATGGGGAACCGACACCTTTTTGAGTTCACACCAAAACGACTGTTGGGTTGTAGGCGCAAAATGCATGTGCGACTCCTCTGGGACCCTCCAGGATGGCACACAATCTGCAGTATCTTCGCCGTTTTCCGAGGCCAGATTTGCGGATCTTTGTGAGTTCAGCTTCGACAACGGGCCCAGGGGCCAAGCAGGGGCATCGATGGAACATGTCAGAGAAGGGTCGAGGTGCTCGCGGTCAGCGGTGCTGCCCATGTGCCCGCTCGCCCAAAAGTTCCTGACAAAATATTGAAAGTGCACGTTGACTGCGCAGGCTCGCAGGAACCGGGATGTCGCAGCGAGTGTGTTGCCGGTGGTACGTGTTCACTCGTGGCCCAAGAGGTCCTCACACACCCACACATACATCCTCACGCATAGACATCCCCACACAGAGATCTTCACACAGAGATTCCCACGCAGAGATCTTACACAGAGATTCTCACACAAGAGATCCTCACACAGAGATGTTCACAAAAGAGATCGCCACACTGACATAAGATATCCTCAGACATACATCTCCATACAGAAATCCTTATATATATATATACATACACATTATAATATATATATATATATATATAATCCTGTATCAGGTTGGAAGGCTTGGGTTTACAGGCTTCATTCTGCAAGGAGTGTATTGGATCATGCGGGGCCTTTTGGCTCAAGCATGATCCAAACTGGCTAAATTTTAACTTCTGGTTTGCGGGTTCGGCAAGTGTTACTTGTCGAATGTTGGCAGTTCCAGGAGTTGACTTTGCCGTGCGGATCGTCCTATCCTGTCCACAGGCGCCTACCTCGACTTCAAGCGCCATGTGGGCAACTTGCTGGAGCAGGGGAATCATGGCAAGGCCCGGATGCTCTGGCTTTCGGCTGTGGAAGTTTTGCATGCCCCTTTCGTGCAAGCTCCCCTGCCCTTGGTTGATAGTGGGGAGATACCCCACCTGCAATTTGCACCCTGCATTGATGCCCAGTGTGCGAGATGTGACGGGTCCCTTGGCGGCTTCAAGTTCCCGTTCATTGGCACCTGGTGCCGGCGTGCAGTCTTGGCTCAAGAAGGTGCATCTGCAGAGGAGGCTTGGGCCGCCTATCATGGGTGCTATGAGGAGGATCGCCTGTCTGAGGCCATGGTGGCTGAAGCAGGCAGTGGCCTCCGTGCCCAGGACATCATCCCGATGTATGTCTCCGCCATTGCTGGCCGGGTGGAATCTGGCGACCTCCCCTTCGTGTCCTTCAGGGGCTTCATGGGGACCTGGAGGAGATGGAGCTTGGGTGCTCGGAGTTGGACCGAGCCATGGCCCAGGGAGAGCGACTCCCTGGCCAGAGCCACAGCGGGGAGGCTTCTCCGTGGGTGGCTGGACGAGGGTAGGAGGAACCTCCCTCTGCGCGGGCTTTGCGCCTACTGCGGAAGCAGGACTCACTCTGTGTGCGCTTCATGTGGCATCCATCAATGCGAAGCCTGCCCCATCCGCTGCTGCCAAGGCTCTACGCTGGGGGGCGCTGCTCTTAGCCATGGCGTTTCGCGGTGACGCCACTCCTGGGCGCTATGCCACTGAAGCCATGGAGCACTCCGGGGGCGAGGGCGGCTCTGGCGAGGGGCTGATGTCTCGTGTCCAGGAGGCCAACGTTCGAGCTTTTCGGCAGAAGCACGGGCTGATGCAGGACTCCGACTTCGGCTTCGCCTTGAGGCCTTCGAGGATGCGGTCCGCGCAGGTGGCCACTTCGTCGCCGCTGAATGGGCGCGGGTGCGGGCGGAGCAACAGGCTCACCTCCTCCCGGCAGGCGCGGCAGTGGTGGAGGCGGACCCCTGGCGAGTGACGCCGGTGGGGCCATCGACCCTCCGCCGGCCGGCGGTGCGGCTCCCCACAAGCAACGTGGGCCTGCGGTTGAGGCAGAACCCGGACAACGCCGAAGCGGTCGGCCGCAGGGTCAACCTGCTGACGGAGGCCTTCATGAAGCTGGGCGTCCTTCGGCCCCGGAGGTACGACGACCCGAAGCGCTATGCCGACTGGCAGCAAGCGGTTCGGAGGCTTGCTCAGGAACGAGTCACCCAGTCCGAGGCGACCACGATCCTGAACGCGGTGAGGACGTTCCAGGAGCTCTCGCTCTTCCTCGCAGCCAGGGGCGTGCAGGACCCGGAGGAGTTGGACTTTCACGCCTTCCTTGAGCAGGCTATGTCGCCATCGCGAGCGCTGCAGTCATTGCGCTGGCTGTCCAACAACGGCAGGTTGCAGTGGCAGCTGGACCGCCTGAAGCCCCCCAAAGTTATTGGGAAGGTGCGCAAGGCGAGGTCCCAGGCCGTGGTGGTGGAACCGCCCATGCTGCTCACCCTGGAGGGCCGGATCATCGAGATGCAGCAAGCCCGAGATCCAGCTTGGACAGCAGCGCTGTCGTCGTGGCTCGTGGCTTCGGGTTGCCTGCGCTACAAGCACTTGAGCTTATCCACTCCGGTGAAGATCAGCAGGGAGTTCTTCCACGGCCACTGCCGCAAAGGGAAGCAGTCCCATAACCGGCAAGGATTCGACTGGTGCGCACCAGCTCGTTTCTCCAACGGTTGGCATTGGGCCGACAAGTGGCTGGAGGACTATCAGGCCGGAGCAGCACGACAAGTGCGGCTGCTTTCACCCGGCCTCTGGCCAGGCGTGGCCCATCCGGGAGGTGCAGAGGGTGACTCAGCACCTCTTCCATGGCGTGGTGGAGCCCCTCGAGCAGCTCACTAGCTATTCCTGGAGGAGATTGCTGCTGACGGTGGGCTCTTTGATCCGCCTTCAGGACGCGGAGATCGTTTCCCTGGGAGACTGGCAGGACAAGGTCGAGGAGCGTGTCTCGATGCCGTTCCACTACAGCGGCGGCAAGTACGCCTTGTCCATGCGGACCAAGATGAGAGCCTTCCTCGTGGCGGCCAAGGTCGCGGACTGCGAGGCGTCACCGAGGAGGAGATCGCCGAAGCCGACGAGGAGGCCAAGATCAAGGCCGCTCAGGCTTGCCGAGGGGACACAGAGGTGATCTGGGCCCAGGCACCGCAGACCACGGCGCTGAAGAGGCGTTTCTCCCTGAGCCAGTCGCTCGTGCACAACGCCCGTGAGCGAATGAGGAAGCCGGCTCCCTCGGTCAAGGCCATGCCATCCAGGCTGGGCGAGATCTTCCTCACGGGACATTTGAAGAACGGTACAGCGTTGTGCCCGGACTTCAACACAGGCGAATGCCGCCAGGACCCGTGCGCAAGGGAGCACTTGTGCGCGATGCTGCAACAGACGGGCAGGGCATGCGGAGGACGCCACCCGGCAAGCGAGTGTCGAGCAAAGCGGCGGATGACTGAGGCGAAGCTTCGCGAGCTGGGGAGCCGATTGCCTGGACAGGCTCGGCAAGAATTTTCAATTGGCAGCGGAGGTAGTGGAAGCGCTTTCCAAGGCGGGCATCGCCAATTTGGAAGAATTCCGCTTTTTCTTCGATGCCGAGGCCAAGGTGGAACCTTGGCTTGGGAAGATCCAGTTGGGAGCGGAAGCTCAGATCCAAGCAGCCAGATTGCGGAGAGCCTGGCATTCGGTCTCGTTGTACTACAAGACCGCCGAGCAGGACCGCTCGCGGGTCGCCATTGAGGACCTCGATTCCCTTCTCGGGGATACCGAGTTGAGATCCGCTAAGGAAGCCTTCTGGGTACGCTACAAGCTCAAATTCCCCACGGAAGTGTACCCCAGCGATGCTGCCGTGTCCAGGGCTTCCAGGGAAATGTCCAAGCGCCTCTTGTGCGTGACGGCCGTCTGGAAGGTGAAAACCTTGCAGTGGCAGCTCGGCACCTCAAGCAAGAAGCGCAAGCTTGGCGAAGGCCTGTGGACGGAGGAGCCAGACGACGAGCAGCCCGGGCACCAGGACTGGGAAACGTACCTGGACAGGCTCTTCACGTTGCTGTTGGCCTACGCCCTGGGCGGGGTGAAAGCGCTGGACAACGCGCCCCCGGCCAAGGAAGAAGACGTGCTCGGGGCGGACACCACGAAGTTCGTCTACGTGCCGTTGGACGTGGTGATGCGTTACCACGCGAGAGCCCGGCGCACATCGGCCAGCCTGCCCTATGCCAGCCGAAGCAGCGGGACAC